CTAGAACAAATATATCAGTAAATAGCTAGTGAAATGTGTCATCTTGTTGGGAATTATAGGTCTACCTTAAATGCATATTGTCTCCAGATTTAAGTAATTCTAACCAAATTTGTTTGTCATTATATTAGGAATAGTTTCTTTGTAACTAGAACAAATATATCAGTAAATAGCTAGTTGAATGCGTCGTCTAGTTGGGAATTATATTTGTTTACCTTAAATATATATTGTCTCCAGATTTAACAAAATCTAACCATTTTTGTATGTCATTATATTAGGAATAGTTTCTTTGTAACTAGAACAAATATATTAGTAAATAGCGAGTCAAATGTGTCATCTTGTTTGGAATTATATTTGTTTACCTTAAATATATATTGTCTCCAGATTTAACAACATCTAACCATATTTGTATGTCATTATATTAGGTATAGTTTCTTTGTAACTAGAACAAATATATCAGTAAATAGCGAGTTGAATGTGTCATCTTGTTTGGAATTATATTTTCTTACCTTAAATATATTTTTTGTCTCCAGATTTAACAGCATGTAACCAGATTTGTTTGTCATTGTGTTTTGAATGGTTTCTAGTGACTAGAACAAATATATCAAGCTTGATGAATATGTCATCTTGTTGGGAATGATATTTATGTACCCTAAATATATACTCACCGCCAAAAGAAACACAAACCATAGAAACATATAGAGAAGTATTTATGTTAAGAAGAGATGTTGCCAAATTGTACCAGTTAATGACAAAATTAACAATGAGTCTAAGTGTTACCACAGAGAGTCTTTATTCATCACGCTAATCTTGCACGAGGCAAATGGTGAATCTTGAGTCATGGATCCATGACATCATGTGATGTCTTTATGAGCATAGGTTCACACAACATACCAGTATGTTCGTAAGTGCATCAATCCAATCCAATATCTCTTGAATATGAGTAATTCTTCACATATTAACAAACATATATGATATTTGCGTTTCTTTTGTCCGCGAGTATATAGTCTCAGATTTAACAGCGTCTAACCAAATTTGTATGTCATTATATTAGGAATAGTTTCTTTGTAACTAGAACAAATATATCAGTAAATAGCTAGTTGAATGTGTCATCTTGATTTCAATGATATTTGTGTATCTTAAATATATATTGTCTCCAGATTTAACAGCATCTAACCAGATTTGTTTGTCATTATATTAGGAATAGTTTCTTTGTAACAAGAACAAATATATCAGTAAATAGCTCGTTGAATGTGTCATCTTGATTTGAATGATATTTGTGTACCTTAAATATAGACTCCCCCAAGAAAGAAACGCCAAGCCCGAATCTGTGACAATAAGTAGAGACATTTAATTTGATAAAGAAAAATGCAACAAGTATGAATGTCACTTGTTGAAGGTCAAGGTCATGAAGGTGTCAATATCTTGTATGGCCACCATTGGCAACCAGAAAGCTTGGCATCTCCTTCCCATGGAAGCCACAAGGTTCTGAATCACATGTTGGGAAATCGTAGCCCATTCTGCCTGAAGTGCTTGTGCCAACTGTTGCAGAGGCTGTGGCTGTGGCTGACGTTGACGTCTGTCCAACTCGTCCCACAAGTGTTCTATGGGATTCAATCCGGCGATTTTGAGAGCCAAGGCAGAACCTGGATGTTGTTAGCCCGCAGGAAAGCTGTGGTGAGACGTGCTGTATGGGGCCGGGTGTTGTCATGCTGAAACATGACATTGGTGGTATGCGTGATGGGTACGACGTGAGGCCTCAGGATCTCGTTGATGTACAGCTGAGCTGTTAAGTTGCCCTGGACATGGATAAGGTCAGTTCTGCCAGTGTGCGAGATGGCTGCCCACATCATTACGCTACCACCACCGAATCTGTCGACCTGTTGAATACAGCATGGTGCAAAACGCTGTCCCTGACGTCAGTACACACGAGTTCTTCCATCTGAACGATACAGCCGGAAACGGGACTTGTCGCTGAACCACACCCTCCTCCAACGAAGTTGCTGCCATAACCTGTGTGCTTGACACCACTGACATAGATTTTGACGGTGCTGTGCCGTTAAAACGACCCCACGAAGGGGACGTCTTGCCCTAAGTCCTGCTTCTTGTAATCGGTTCCTAACTGTTTGGGCTGATATCCTGCGCATATCCGGAATGTTGGATGCCGTAGACGATGCGGTTGTGGCTCTGTCACGGAGATGACATAACCGGATGTATCGGTCCTGCCCCCTGGTGGTCAATCAGGGTCTACCTGATCTGGGACGGTCACGTGTTGTTCCTTTATTTTGATATCGGTCCCACAGTCTTGTTATTGTGCTTGGCGACACGTTAAACACCCTGGTTACTGCAGATCGTGAATTACCAGCTTCCAATCTGCCTATTGCTTGGTTTCTCTCTGCTTCGCTGAGTCTTGGCATTGTTCTGCATTAAAGTGCGTGTCAACAACAATTGCCACCTGAGTGAAAACCCTGCGCTTTTAATGCCTATGGAAGCATGTTACACGTGCAGTGAATGGGTGTGTTTCGGTAACATGGTTAGCACTTGGCTGCGTTTTGGTCAATTTTGCATGTTTTTCTCCCTGAAAACATCTGAATCACCTGAGTGAAAACCCTGCGCTTTCATAGCCTATGGAAGCATGTTACACGTGCAGTGAATGGGTGTGTTTCGGTAACATGGTTAGCACTTGGCTGCGTTTTGGTCAATTTTGCATGTTTTTCTCCCTGAAAACATCTGAATCAAATTTCCATCTTATTCTTCATGGCATTTGGTACCCATAACACTACATCTCCCAAATCTTTCCTGAAAACACCAACATCATCTATAATACTATTTCAGTAACCATTTTTATCCCTTTTGCGTTTCTTTATTGGGGGAGTATATATTGTCTCTTAAGAGTTAATAGAATGGTTTCTTTGTTACTGGAATAGATATTTTTGCCTGAATTACAATACATAACCTACTTAAATTGTTATTTGATTTTGTTGTTGTTTTTTTAAAGCCACACTTGTATATATAATCAAGTCTAGACCAGACAATTCTGGGAATGATATCATTGGCACTGATATACCCAATTGAGATATGGCGACACACATCAACCAAGTTAGCAAGTCTGACCACCATGATCCATTTGGTTGCCTCGTACAACCAGCAAGGGTTGGTGGTGACCAGTTCTAACCTAGAGCCCCGCAGGATGGAAAGTTTTAGGTGAAACAAGACAATCTAATACATGATTGAGTGAGTGAGTGGGGTTTAACGCTGCTTTTAACAGTATTACAGTTATATCGCAGCATGTCATCTTAATGTGGGAGGAAAGCCCCAAGTGATGCAGGTCTCAGACGTTTACCACTTCGGTGAAACCCACGAGCATGGGTATTTTGCTGACAAACCTAGAAACATGATCGGGGTGAACTATTATTCGAACCCAAAATCACAGGTTTCTGGCATCCCTAAGGGACACAACTCTGTACAGCAAATCACGGCACCTTAAACAACTGGGCCACCCGTGCCCTCAATACATGATTGAAGGGTAGTTATCTTATGATGGCAGTTTAACGCTACACACAGCAATATTCCAGTGACCTGTCTGGAAATTATTCAGACTTGACCAGCCAATCCAGTGATTGATATGATGAGCATCGATCCACGCGTTTGGGATACGATGACATGCATCATCAACCAAGTCAGCGAGCCTGACCACCCGATCCCGTTAGTCGCTTCTTACTACAAGCATAGTCGTTTTTACTGCAAGCTTGGGTTGTTGAAGACCTATCCTACCCTGGACCTTCACCAAAAGTGTTGTGTGATTTCTGTCCATTAGCTCCTTTCTTTTGTTTGTTTGTTTGTTTGTTTAGCTCCGCACTCAGCAATATTCCAGCTATATGACAGCGGTCTGTAAGTAATTGAGTCTAGACCAGACAATCCAGTGACAGACATCATGAGCATTGTTATACAATTGGGATACGATGACATGCATCAACCAAGTCAGCGAGTCCACCTGATCCCGTTAGTCGCCTCTTACGACAAGCATAACCCCTGAAGACATTAGCCAGAAACTTTAGGAGTGAGTGAGGTAGGTTTAACACCGCTTTGAACACAATTGCAGTTATGTCATGGTGTCACCTTAATGTGGGAGGAAAACCCAAAGTGATGCATGTGTCAAGACATTTACCGCTTTGGTAAGTGAGTGAGTGAGTGAGTGAGTGAGTGAGTATGGTTTTACGCCGCTTTTAGCAATATTACAGCAATATCACGGCGGGGGACACCAGAAATGGGCTTCACACATTGTACCCATGTCGAGAATCGAACCCGGGTCTTCGGCGTGATGAGCGAACTCTTTAACCACTAGGCTACCCGACCGCCCCACCGCTTTGGTGAAACCCACAAGCATGGGTATGGTGGTGAACCCTAGAAACATAACTGGGGTGAACCGGAGACCCTAGAATCATACCTGGCTCCATAAGAAGACTTTAGGTCATGGCACTAAACTAAAAAAATATGTCCATCTAAAAAAATGAATAAAGAGTTCAATGGTGTGACGTTTTTTCATAATTATTTAATAAGAAATATTGTTATTGTGTTAATTTGGTTTATGTTGTTATATATCATTATCATTAGTTATCACAAACATATTTGTCGATCCAAAGTGCGTGGATGGATGCTCATGATGTCAATCACTGGATTGTTTGGTCCAGACTCGATTATTTACAGACTGGCGTCGTATAGCTGGAATATTGCTGAATACGGCTTTAGACAACTAACAAATCAAACATATTTGAAAAAGTTGGCAAATATGTTGCCACTTGGTGACACACATCTTCAGAGGTCACTTAATATTGACTTTAGGGACCAGTCATTTATTACAGGGGGTATTGATGCATTTAATGTACAGAAAATAATGACCCTCCCCCTAATGCTTGCCATATTTTTTGATTACCCTCCCCATGTCCTTGTACATTTATTTCATAACCCTCCCTGAAAAGACAAAATGCAAAAACACTTTATAATTCATTATGAAATGTCCATTTATTCATTACCATCCCCTTCCCAATATACAGAAGGCCGGTCAGTCCCTTATCCAGCATAGAGGTTTCAGGTAATCTTTTGTCACTGTTTCGTAGTGATGAACATTTGCTCTTAAACTGAGCAGAATGAGGGGAGAAATGGTTCACGGTATTCACAATCCCATGTCCGTCAGAAGTATCAGCGTAGATGCTGTTCACCAGTTGATTACTCCATGACATCCGTGAGTGTGTGACCTTCACCTTCAGTTCATCTTCTAGCATAATGTCTGGACAGTGACTGTCCAGCAGCAGCAACATGGCTTCATCAACTCCTCGTCTGGTCACGTGTCGCACTCTGAATCACTGTCCAACTTGTTCAATGCACTTCCAGCAAATTCCTGGTTGAATTCATTCTTCGATATCTGGAAAGGATAACACTGGGTGAGGAAGAGTTCTACATGATGGTGGTGTTGACTGAGTGAGCCAGTTGGGTTTAACGCCGCTTTTAACATTATTCCAGTTACATCACGGCGTGTCAGCTTAATGTGGGAGGAAAGCCCGAAGTGATGCAGGTCTAAGACGTTTACCACTTCAGTGAAACCTACGAGCACGGGTATGGTGCTGACAAACCTAGAAACACAATTGGGGCGAACCGGGATTCGAACCCACAATCATTGGTTTCTGGTGTTGACTGAAATTTTAGACTCCAATGGTCCTTTCAAATTGGTTCATGGTTACCGACACATTCTCAGATTCACAGGGATGTGAGATAGTTTGTTTGAAAGCTGCTTCAAACAGTGTCAGCTTCATGTGGGAGGAAGAAGCCAAGTGATTCATGTTGTAGGAAGTTAGCCCTCTGGTGGTGCTGACTAAACAAGAATGACAATCTGGAAGTTAGGGTACCAATTCCACAGAGATGTTTCGTTTGTCAGCTGCTAGAGTGCAGATAGATAGAGGGACATGGATAATTACCTTCAGTTTCACTATCTACAATGACAAAAAACAGAATGTGTTTTCAAATTTACTGGTGTTCCAACTTATATTTGTGGGCATCAAATACTCAATAACACCTCCTACACTGTGTATCACCTTCAAACTATACTACCAAAACAAAGTTAAGGTCCATCCAATTCTTTCATATTACTATAGTTTATCTGTCATGTATCTGTAACTATAGTAATATGAAGACTCGGTGTTCCTTAACCTTCAGTTCATGCCGTGACAGATAAACTATAGTAATATGAATGATTCAGGTGGTCCTTAACTTGTTTTGAGTAGCATACATTTACAGCATTCATCCAGATTCACCACTAGGAGTTATGTCTTCAGCAGACACCTACTTTCCCTTTCTTTAGCTTCTTCATGAGCAGCAAATCTGAACCGAGGTCGTCAACCTCCTCAGCTGTGTTATCGGGTTCAACGTCCTCCAGTTTCCTCTTCTGTGCACGGAGTTTCTTCTCCACTCTCTTCTTCTTCTTCTCCACTTTCTCCTTCTGCCGGGACCACGGCACTGACTGAAAAGACCAACCATGACATCAAATTGTTTCATTCACAATAATGAAGTATGATGTATGATCTGAGCTGTCCATGCTGTCAACACGGAGCTGACAGAGCTTCAAAACATAACCAGCTGCTGCACAACACAATGAATCTGACATGGTGGCGTGAGCTGAGGTGAGGTGAGGTGAGGTGGCGTGTGGTGAGGTGAGGTGAGGTGAAATGGGGCTTAACGTTGCATTCAAGATTATTGCACTTATATAGCAACATGCATGAACTGAGGCGATACACCGATGCATCACAGTTTTTTACTTCTCGATACAAGTATCGATGACAGTCGCACACTTAGTAAGATATATCGATTCTGACCTTAAATGTTTGCTTTAATAACCGTTCCACTAAACACTTATCAGTAGCGCAAGTTAATAGTGAAAACATAAATATTTTCATTTGTGCCATACGTGACACTGCCAACTGTATGTCGTCAGTGCGCCAGGTATTTGACCATCCTGTCTATGAAAGAGATGGCTTACGCACTACAGATAAGAGCACATGCAAGTATTGTGATACATATCGGATCGTGAGTAATGTATCGTGATACATATCGGATCTCACAGTTGGTGTATCGTCCCAGCCCTAGTGTGTGTGTGGTTTTTTTTATAGTTCTAGCCCACTGAGATACCATGCCACTACTTAACGTGAATACCCCACTCAGACACAGTATACTGATTCCGAGCCAACCAGTCCTTGTTTTAGCCCCTTAATGCCGAGTGCCAGACAAGGTAACAACAAGTACCATCTTTTAACATCTTTTGGTATGACGCGGCAGGGAATTGAACCCAGGCAGATGCTCTAGCACTAGACCACAGAGGCAGTCAAATCTAAAATGGATTAACTATGCCAAATGATGTCCATAAACTGTTCAGGCATTGCAAATTGGAGTCAGGAGTTGTGTCCCTTAGTTGTGCCAGAAACCTACGATCGATGCACTCACTTTGGGTGGCCTCTTCATTTTTTTATGCCTCTGCAGCAGCTCCCCGCTCTCGATCCTCACCTGCCGCTGCTTCTCCCGATGCTTGTCTCTGAAGCCACAATGATGACCATACAACTGTTTCCTGGTCTCGAGACACAGTAACATGGATGTAGTAATGGACCGACCTATCGATGCATTGCAAATGTCAATATCTCGACATCAATGACAAGCATAAATATTGACGGTTGGCATCAAAACCATGATAGGCTATAAATTGAAATATGTACTTAAATGTAAAAAATATACTGAAACAATCTAAAAATGCATATTCAAGTTTTGGTGATATTTGACAAAATGGCCACAAAAATTAAAATTAAGTTGTTCTGTGTATTTAGACAGGAGATAACCAAACAATGTCATTTTGTAATTTTTTGTCATGCCAGTAAATATTTACTTCTAAAACCATTTCAATGTCCTTTGAGTTAAAGTTGATTATGAGGGGACATGGGTGGCCCAGTTGTCTAAGGCGCCACAATTTGCTGTGCAGAGTTGTGTCCCTTGGACACGCCAAAAACCTATGACTGTGGGTTCGAATCCCGGTTCGACCCGATTATGTTTCTAGGTTTGTCAGCACCATACCCGTGCGTGGGTTTCACCGAAGTGGTAAACGTCTAAGACCTGCATCACTTCGGGCTTTCCTCCCACATTAAGCTGATACGCCGCGATGTAACTGGAATAATGTTAAAAGCGGCGTAAAACCCAACTCACTCACTAAAGTTGATTAAGTGTCTGCATTGTGTGTCAGTGATGTATAATCACCAGCTGATATTTTACCATTTGCTTAAGACTGATCATATTCACCAGTTTATATATACACCAGAATAAGACCTATGACCGCATCCCCTTCACCTCTCTGCCAAGCTCCCTAGCAGTCCTCTGAAGCTGACTTTGTTTAATGCTGAGTCAGCAATATTGGAGTTGTGTCTAAGCAGGTTGAACTGAGTGCATGAAATCAGGTGTAGATCAGGTGATGAGGGAAAGACAGAATGTTATAGCTTCACCTGACCTGCTTCGTGTATCAGTTGATTTGTAACAGGAAAAATAACTTGTCTGCAGGAATCAATTCATATATATCTGGTATCAATCTAGACCAATTATCAACTCACCTGCATCTGCTATGAACTCACCTGTCACATGTACCAACTCACCTGCATCTGGCACGTACCAACTCACCTGCATCTGGTATGAACTCACCTGTCACATGTACCAACTCACCTGCATCTGGTATGAACTCACCTGAGACATGTACCAACTCACCTGTATTTTGCATCAACTCTACATACTGTATCCACTCACCGGAATGGAATGTCGTCCACATTAATCTCCACAGGTAGAAAGTTGGGAACCACTTTGCCTTTCAATTCGGGCATTTTAGGAATTTTCAGAAGACCGAATCCAGTAGCTAGTTTCCCGAAGTCAATATCTGTAAACACAGCATCAAGGCAGTTGAAGAAACCAGACACCAGAACTTCTGATAGGAAGGAAATGTTTCAAATCTATAGAGCACTGAATGGTTCCATGGTACTTATCACTATAGAATGGAGATATAATGCACTGGCTATAATATCAGCGACGGAGCCATGTTATCTCAAGTTACAACTGTGTGAAAAGAGTGAGTGAGTCGGGTCTTATGCCGCATTGAACATTATTCCAGTTATATCACAGCGTGTCTGCTTCATGTAGGGATAAGCCTGAAGTCATGCAGGTCTCAGATGTTTACCACTTTGGCAAAATGCACGAACACAAGTATTGTGCTGACAAACCTAGAAACATAATCAGGGCAAACTGGCATTCAAACCCTCTATCAGAGGTTTCTGGCGTGCCCAAGGGAGGCAACTCTACACAGCGAATTGCGGCGCCTTAGACAACTGGGCCACCGTGCTCCCGTGTGGGAAGAAACACTGTAAAAAGCTGAAACAAGAGAGCTTGCTGTCAACATAAATAGGAGAGACAGTCACTGTATAACAGTAACAACCACGGTGAATCGCCAACAAGTCGTTGTTAATGGCACAGACCAGACATACCAGTGGTGGATGTGATGAGGGGTGTCTGGATACAATGACCTGCAATCAACAAGTCACTGAATCTGAAAACCTCGTCCAGTTCAGTCGACAAACAACAGATATGAGAACCGTAATAAACCTGGGTCCCACAGGGTTGACCAACAAATACAGATCAACTGTGAGAATGTACCAATACACTTGCTTGTACTGACCTTTCACCCTGAATATCATGCTGCACTCATGTTTAGCATAGGACTGGACAAACGACACATAGGCTCTCATTCCCTTCTCGTATATTGCCCTGAAAGTCAGACATGGCATCATGAGTATCTCACAGGAACAGCTACAACCATCAAATTACTGTATAACTACAAAAGGATATATAGTTCCCTGCAGTATATAAATATAAGGACCCGATAAGTCATTCTCCCAAATACTGCCCCATATACTACCAAGGGGATTATACTTTAGGCCATAATAAATAAAAAAGATTATTATCATCCACTTTTTTTCAAAAGATGGGAGGGAGGGAGGGTTTTTATTTTTTATTTTTTATTAAAGTCGTCAAGTTGAAGACTGGACACCTTGGTATGAACAATAGATGACTGAAATAACAAAATAAACAATATAAACAGAAGCAGTCGGATGTATCTGGGTCAAACCTATTTTCCCTGCCCAAACTTGTACTCGTGCGTTTCTCAATTTATCCTCAACTGACGCTTACTTGTCAAGTTCCCCACAAGCAAGCTTGTTGAAGAGTCATAGACTCTGGCAAAGGACAGGCATAACAGTCTTAAATGGTCTGCACACCCTCTCGTATTTTTAAAATAGTGAGCACCATCTTGACAGCCGACATAAAGCAGACGATAGGCAGGTATGTCGAGAGTCAGTTGTAGACCAGTTTACGGCTTGTCATAAACATGAAATGGCCGTTTCACAGCTGACATTAAAATGCTCTAACATTTCACTCGGTCAAATAAAATTTATTTGTTGGGGGGTTTAGTCGTGAGTTGGGCGGGGATGATAATCTAGCAATTATATTATTATGGCCTTATACTGCTTGTTTTGAAAGTCCTCACACGATGATTTTACAGCAATTGAACCGACTACAAGGCTCAGGTGGTATGGAGACTCAGGTGTTGAAATGGCTCCTGTTATAAAAAAGTGTTCAAAATGGATTGAGTATTCTGACAACAGTAACCATCACACACACCTGTCCTTGGCAGCCAGCTTCTGTACCGCTGGCAGGTGGTTGTGTACATCCTCTGCCTTCTCCAGCTCCTCCATTGGCACCTGTAGATACAGAAGGGGGAGAGTGAGTGAGTGAGTGAGTGAGTGAGTGAGTGAGTGAGTGAGTGAGAGTGAGTGAGCGAGCGGTTTGATGTTTTACGCCGCACTCAGCAATATTCCAGCAATATGATGGCGGTCTGTAAATAACCGAGTCTGGACCAGACAATCCAGTGATTAATATCATGAGCATCAATCCATGCAATTGGGATCGATGACATGCATCAACCAAGTCAGCGAGCCTGAGTGAGTGAGTGAGTGAGTGAGTGAGTGAGTGAGTGAGTGAGTGAGTGAGTGAGTGAGTGAGTGAGTGAGTGAGTGAGTGAGTGAAAAATGAGATAAAAAATGCAACGGTGGTGCCACCCATGTCCTCTGGACTGCATGGAAACATCACAGACAGAACATACAGTGCTGACAAGTATTGCAGTCATATCATGGCATGTAAGCTTTAGTGAGAGGAAATTGATTCAGTTCCCAGACAATAAATAGATTGGAAAAACCAATGAGCACTTGCATGATGCTTACAGACCAAGAATCATAATCAGGGTGAACCTGTGATGTGAACCCACATTCACATAGGGCTACACATAGACACAGGGACCTTCAGCAACCCATACTTGCCATAAGGGGCGACTATGCTTGTTGTAAGAGGCGATTAACGGGATGCATGTCAGCGTATTCATGCGTTAAACAACAAAGAAACAAACAATCAATCCAAACACAGACACAGGGCGCTCACCTTCTGGTTGATGCTGATGAAGTTGGTGTAGGTGTCTTCAGCAGGGAGCAGCATCACAAGGGCATTGCCGGTGTTCCCGATCCTAGCTGTGCGACCACATCGATGAACAAAAGAACTAAAAAGAAAAAAATACAATCAAAAGTCAAAGTAAGACCAACATTCTCAAGATCCTGGGTTACAGAGTTTTTGTGAAAATTCCTGGTTGGTAGGTGGAGGAAAAAGGAATAAAAGAAGACATTTCAGGTTATTATTTTTTCACTTTAAATGAAACCTGCTAAATATGTTGCCATGTGTGCACTGTTAAGTTTACCTGTTACCCAACATGTTGAGATGTTGCTGTATCTAAATTAATGTTTGTTTACCTGGCTGAACTCGGGGGGTCAAACTGTATGACCCAGTGTACTTCAGGAATGTCCACCCCGCGAGCCATCACATCGGTACAGGTCAACACACCACTGTAACACACATCGGTACAGGTCAACACATGACTAACACATCGGTGCAGGTCAACACACCACTGTAACGCATATCGGTACAGGTCAACACACCACTGTAACACACATCGGTACAGGTCAACACACCACTGTAACACACATCGGTACAGGTCAACACACCACTGTAACACACATCGGTACAGGTCAACACACCACTGTAACACACATCGGTGCAGGTCAACACACCAATGTAACACACATCGGTACAGGTCAACACACCACTGTAACACACATCGGTACAGGTCAACACACCACTGTAACACACATCGGTACAGGTCAACACACCACTGTAACACACATCGGTGCAGGTCAACACACCACTGTAACACACATCAGTACAGGTCAACACACCACTGTAACACATCGGTGCAGGTCAACACATCACTAACACATCGGTGCAGGTCAACACACCAATGTAACACACATCGGTACAGGTCAACACACCACTGTAACACACATCGGTACAGGTCAACACACCACTGTAACACATCGGTACAGGTCAACACACCACTGTAACACACATCGGTGCAGGTCAACACACCACTGTAACACACATCGGTACAGGTCAACACACCACTGTGACACACATCGGTACAGGTCAACACACCACTGTAACACACATCGGTACAGGTCAACACACCACTGTAACACACATCGGTACAGGTCAACACACCACTGTAACACACATCGGTACAGGTCAACACACCACTGTAACACATCGGTGCAGGTCAACACATCACTAACACATCGGTGCAGGTCAACACACCACTGTAACACACATCGGTACAGGTCAACACACCACTGTAACACACATCGGTGCAGGTCAACACACCACTGTAACACACATCGGTACAGGTCAACACACCACTGTAACACACATCGGTACAGGTCAACACACCACTGTAACACATTGATACAGGTCAACACACCACTGTAACACACATCGGTACAGGTCAACACACCACTGTAACACACATCTGTGCATGTCAACACACCACTGTAACACACATCGGTACAGGTCAACACATCACTAACACATCGGTGCAGGTCAACACACCACTGTAACACACTTCCGTACAGGTCAACACACCACTGTGACACACATCGGTAAAGGTCAACACACCTATGAAACACACATCAGTAAAGGTCAACACACCACACAGAGGAGTACAATAATAATATGTGTTCCATGTGTTCACACTAAACATGCTTAAAGAAGGTATTAAAAAGGAAATAAGTACCTGGCAAGCTGTCGAAAACTGGAAAATATCTTGTTTCTTTTCTGTTTCATTTTCCCATGGATAGACAGAATCTGACTCTTCTTTAGAATGCTGGAAAATAATAATATCAATCGGTGAATCAAGTTTTGCAAAACTTATCACAAAAAATTACAAAACAAAGTAACTAAGCACACACAAAAATGAGTGAGTGAGTGAGTGAGTGAGTGAGTGAGTGAGTGAGTGAGTGAGTGAGTGAGTGAGTGAGTGAGTGAGTGAGTGAGTGAGTGAGTGAGTGAGTTGAATTGGAGGACCCGGGAGAAGTAGTCCAATGTGGTGTAGGTATACTCACTGTTGGAGGACCCGGGAGAAGTAGACCAATGTGGTGTAGGTATACTCACTGTTGGAGGACCCGGGAGAAGTAGACCAATGTGGTGTAGGTATACTCACTGTTGGAGGGCCCGGGAGAAGTAGACCAATGTGGTGTAGGTATACTCACTGTTGGAGGACCCGGGAGAAGTAGATCAATGTGGTGTAGGTATACTCACTGTTGGAGGACCCGGGGGAAGTAGATCAATGTGGTGTAGGTATACTCACTGTTGGAGGACCCGGGGGAAGTAGATCAATGTGGTGTAGGTATACTCACTGTTGGAGGGCCCGGGAGAAGTAGATCAATGTGGTGTAGGTATACTCACTGTTGGAGGGCCCGGGAGAAGTAGATCAATGTGGTGTAGGTATACTCACTGTTGGAGGACCCGGGGGAAGTAGACCAATGTGGTGTAGGTATACTCACTGTTGGAGGGCCCGGGAGAAGTAGACCAATGTGGTGTAGGTATACTCACTGTTGGAGGGCCCGGGGGAAGTAGACCAATGTGGTGTAGGTATACTCACTGTTGGAGGGCCCGGGAGAAGTAGACCAATGTGGTGTAGGTATACTCACTGTTGGAGGGCCCGGGAGAAGTAGATCAATGTGGTGTAGGTATACTCACTGTTGGAGGGCCCGGGGGAAGTAGACCAATGTGGTGTAGGTATACTCACTGTTGGAGGGCCCAGGAGAAGTAGACCAATGTGGTGTAGGTATACTCACTGTTGGAGGGCCCGGGGGAAGTAGACCAATGTGGTGTAGGTATACTCACTGTTGGAGGGCCCGGAAGAAGTAGTCCAATGTGGTGTAGGTATACTCACTGTTGGAGGGCCTGGGAGAAGTAGACCAATGTGGTGTAGGTATACTCACTGTTGGAGGACCCGGGAGAAGTAGTCCAATGTGGTGTAGGTATACTCACTGTTAGAGGGCCTGGGAGAAGTAGACCAATGTGGTGTAGGTATACTCACTGTTGGAGGACCCGGGAGAAGTAGTCCAATGTGGTGTAGGTATACTCACTGTTGGAGGGCCTGGGAGAAGTAGACTAATGTTGTGTAGGTATACTCACTGTTGGAGGGCCCGGGAGAAGTAGACCAATGTTGTGTAGGTATACTCACTGTTGGAGGGCCCGGGAGAAGTAGACCAATGTGGTGTAGGTATACTCACTGTTGGAGGACCCGGGAGAAGTAGTCCAATGTGGTGTAGGTATACTCACTGTTGGAGGACCCGGGAGAAGTAGACTAATGTTGTGTAGGTATACTCACTGTTGGAGGGCCCGGAAGAAGTAGTCCAATGTGGTGTAGGTATACTCACTGTTGGAGGGCCTGGGAGAAGTAGACCAATGTGGTGTAGGTATACTCACTGTTGGAGGACCCGGGAGAAGTAGTCCAATGTGGTGTAGGTATACTCACTGTTGGAGGGCCTGGGAGAAGTAGACCAATGTGGTGTAGGTATACTCACTGTTGGAGGACCCGGGAGAAGTAGTCCAATGTGGTGTAGGTATACTCACTGTTGGAGGGCCTGGGAGAAGTAGACTAATGTTGTGTAGGTATACTCACTGTTGGAGGGCCTGGGAGAAGTAGACTAATGTTGTGTAGGTATACTCACTGTTGGAGGGCCCGGGAGAAGTAGACCAATGTGGTGTAGGTATACTCACTGTTGGAGGGCCCGGGAGAAGTAGACCAATGTGGTGTAGGTATACTCACTGTTGGAGGACCCGGGAGAAGTAGTCCAATGTGGTGTAGGTATACTCACTGTTGGAGGACCCGGGAGAAGTAGACTAATGTTGTGTAGGTATACTCACTGTTGGAGGGCCCGGGAGAAGTAGACTAATGTGGTGTAGGTATACTCACTGTTGGAGGACCCGGGGGAAGTAGATCAATGTGGTGTAGGTATACTCACTGTTGGAGGACCCGGGGGAAGTAGATCAATGTGGTGTAGGTATACTCACTGTTGGAGGGCCTGGGAGAGATAGTCCAATGTGGTGTAAGTATACTCACTGTTGGAGGGCCCGGGAGAAGTAGACCAATGTGGTGTAGGTATACTCACTGTTGGAGGGCCTGGGAGAAGTAGTCCACTCCGGCACATGTGCTGAAGAACACCATCACCTTCTCCTGCTGGTGTTCCTTGAGGAAGTGGAGCAGCTGGTTGAACTTTTCATCAGCATCCACGATCTGAAGTCAGAGGAAGCTGCCAAATTATCTCTACCATCATCATATCTGTTCTTTAAATGACACATCTTCCATATATATTCCAATAAATTCAAATTCAAACTGAATTACATCTATGAGAAATGATCACGAAATGGCAGTAGATTGGTTTTCAAAATGACTGTGTAGAAGCTTGGGATGCGAGCTTGAGTGGAGCCACCTCGGGTGCCTATCTTGGTGGTATTAGCAAATATTCAAAATATTTACAATAGAACTTATTTATCAAATTCAAGCGGCATCATTGGTGAATGCTAGAAAGTTTCAGCTTCATCTGAGATTCTGATGGATGACAGCCAAGCATGCATGAGAGAAGGTCCTTGACTTTCAGACAGGTGAGCTGTTGAAATCTCACTATATATATTTAACTTGTTGTATAAACGGCCAGTTCGCTGCGTAACAGGAGACATATTTTGTCTGATCACCAATGTGTTCTCCAGGATGTGTGAGAATCAGGCCTTACCATGTAGTAGTTCTGGAGTGTCAGTGGCGTCCTCTGCAGCGACTCCGACTCCGTCGACAACTTCTCCTTGACTGTGATCCTCAAGGGGTTCCTCAGCCCTGCCCGGATCAGATTCTCCACCTCATCTGTCTGGGTGGCCGAGAACAGACCCGTCCGCCGCTGTTTGGGGAGGTAACTCAGGATAGTGTTGATGCTGGAATATAGGAAGGTAGTAAAGATGATTCTCAACCTCATCAGTCTAGGTGGCCGAGAACAGACCCGTGAGTGAGTTAGTGAGTGAGAGTGCGAGAGTGAGTGAGTTGTCCATCTCAACTGTACAAGAACAGATGTGTCTGATATATAGTCAGCAATATGTCAGATGTATCACGATGGTCTTTGAACTGAAATCAGTCCAAGAGAAATAAGTGGTTGACCAGTGCCGTAGCCAGCCGGGGGGGGGGGGGGGGGGAACAGTTGTCCCCCTAGATTTTTTTATAGAAAACAGTTATTTGAATCTAGTTGGGGACAAGTGATACTTGTACAAATATTTGCCCCCCTGTCAGAAAAAGTTAACTACGCCCTTGTTGACACTGTAAATACAGATCATTCACACAACTATATATCACCCAGAGCATAGAAATAATCAAGTCTGGGCCAGGCAAACCAGTGGTTGACAGCATGAGCACCAATCAATGCAGAGTGGCAGGGTAGGATGGCACACAATCAGCAAGGTCAACATAACAATGACCTTGTAATCATTTCATCTGGTTCTCACAGCATGCAGAGATCTTTATTCATCCTAGAATCCCTGTAAACACTGACAATGCTAAGAGTCAAACCATTATGACAGAAAATATAAAGATTTACCTTGCTGTAAATCCCATGTCCAGGAGTCGGTCAGCTTCATCAAGGACGAGCACCTCCTGAATACAACATGGAACACTTTGAAAGCTTAAGCTGATCATTTGACATATCTCACCTGGATTTTGATTTGTTTTTGTCAAATAAAAATTAATACAGTCTCATTAATCCGATATGGTTGGTTGCATATGACTATGTCGGATTAACGAGTACGTCGTAGTTATTAAGTAGTATCAACGTTCGTGGATCGATGCTCATGATATCAATCACTGGATTGTCTGGTCCAGGCTCAATTATTTACAGACCGCCGTCATATAGCTGGAATATTGCTGAGTGCGGGGTAAAACAACAAACCAACCAATCATATACCAAGTTGATGTTTATTATTCAATGTTCCAAATAAGGCATGAACGCCAAGGGGTCGTTGTCATAACACCAATGTGGAAAGTTAAATCATTAGTCTAGTCCCTAGACACAAATACTACCAGTGTTCAAAATACCTGCCTGCCTGACCGTCCGAGACGGGTTGATTTCAACTCGGGCTGCCAGATTTTCAAATCCCCCTGCCCGACGGTCGGGTTTTATTTCATATGTGAAAATATTCTAAATATTTCCCGATGATAAGCATTAATTCACATGTAAAGATGAATGATAAAATGTAACCAAAAAGAAACCCTGTTAGCTTATCCGGAGAAACATATGATTATAGTGGGCAGGCAGGTTTTGGTCAGGGCTGGCAAGTATTTCAGCTAGCCAGTCCTGTGGTCTGGCTGAAATTTTTGGGAGTTTCATACCCTGATACTACAGGAGCAAACCCCAATGTTCCTTGGATCCCACTGACTTCTAACACTGTCAGTGTTTTCGCTGGCTTTTGAAACTGCAAACTCTAAAAATTACCAGTCCCTTCAAATTTCTGTCAGCTCTAACAGTGAACAAATAAGAAAATGAATGAAAACTATCTGATTTTAATTCTTTCAACATCATATTCAAAATTTTACTTTGGTTCGAGACTCAATCTAAAAAAATACATATTTAACCTCAAAGCAAAGTGAAATGTTATTTCCTTGCACTAAAAATAGACAATGGAGACCCCTGATGATTAGAGACCAGCTGACTTCATTAGAAAAATATACTTTCGTGATTATCAATCATCTTTTGTTCAACAGCTAAGATTTATAAGGTACTTTATATGCCACACCACAGGGATTGACAGTCACATGAATTACCGGTCCAAGCCTAACTTTACCGGTTAAAACTGGTAATTACTAGTAAATAGGAACACTACACTGCTAGGATTAATGAACATTTACTGGAGATCTGATCGTCAAAGAGCATCCTTCAACTCTACCTACCAAGGCCTTGACGCTGGCCGCCAGGTTAAACGCTCCTTGCTTCCTCTGGAACATGTCTTCCATTCGGCCCGGCGTTGCTATCACAATATTACCTCTGTCAGAACACAAAAATACACAATAAACCAAAAGTTATTAACACCAGTTCTCTTCCTTTTATGCCATACCTCTCTGCGTGACGATAGACTCTCAAAGGTCATGTCGGTTAACCTTGGGTGAACTCTGACCCCCCAATCTTTACCAACCATTCCAAGCCTCTGCTCTTAACAAAGGAACTCCACTGAGAACACAAATACTCCCTCAACTGTACACGCCCTGGGTTTCAACTCCATGGTACTCAACAACTGGGTGTATCAAATATCTATGGCATTTATTATTTTCCATTTGAAATTGTCTGTTTATGCATCTTTTCGCGACCTGAAATCAAATATGCGGCTCTGAAAGCTCAACTTGGTCATGTCAAGAAAAGCATCGAGTGAGTGAGTGAGTGAGTGAGTGAGTGAGTGAGTGAGTGAGTGAGTGAGTGAGTGAGTGAGTGAGTGAGTGAGTGAGTGAGTGAGTGAGTGAGTGAGTGAGTGAGTTGGGTTTAACGCTGCTTTTAACATTATTCCAGTCATATAACGGTGTGTCAGCTCAATGTGGGAGGAAAGCCCGAAGTGATGCAAGTGTCAGACGTTTACCACTTCAGTGAAACCCACGAGCACGGGTATGGTGCTGACAAACCTAGAAACGTAATCAGGGCGAACTGGTATTCAAACCCACAATCATAGGTTTCTGACTTGCCCAAGGGATGCAACTCTGCACAGCGACTGCGCCGTCTTAGAAGACTGGGCCACCCGTGCCCCGGAAAAGCATCAAAGCTGATTAGAAAGTTGACCTGATGTGACCTTTCATGGAGCTCTGTCAGGTCCCGCACAGAGAGGTACTGTGATTAAAACGTGATATCAATATATCTGACTCAACACCATGACTGACGTAATTCAACATTATATTCTAAAAACAAGAAATAAAGTGACAATTATTAATCTACAAGCACAAACATGACATCAGGCAACTGAATTCAGATCATAAACTGCATGAATTGACTATAATTACATTTAGAATTATTTATGTAAAAATATCAGTTTATCCACAAAGATATCACTATATAACTTTAAAACATGAACACAACTGGTTTTGTTTGTTTGTTTGTTGTTTAATGCCTCACTCAGGTCAATTCCAGCTAAATGATGTAAGTCTGTTAATAATCGAGTCTCCATCAGACAATCCGGTGACTGACATAAATAACATCTAACCATGTAAATGGGATACGATGAAATGCGGTGAGGTGAAATTGAATTTAACGTCGCATCCAAGATTATTTCACTTACATAGCGATCTGCATGCACGTGTGTGTGTGTATGTGGATGCTTATACTAGTCCGGACTGATATGAATTTATACTGCTAGCCCACTGAGATACCATGCCATAGTTTAACATAAATACCCCACTCAGACACAGTATACTGACGCTGAGCCGACCAGTCTGTTTTAGCCACCTAAGTGCCAAGCGCCAGACAGGGTAACAACTAGTACCATCTCTTACGTCTTTTCGTATGACGTGCCCGGGGATCAAACGCCAGACCTTCAAGGCAAACACTCTACCACTAGACCAGAGGCAGTCATGACGAAATGCATTAAGAAAGTCAACAATAACCCGATCCATTTATTTGCCTTTTACAACAAGCATAAGTTGCTGGCGACTATATATTCTTGCCCGGAATCCCCATGTAATCCTGAGTTTAAAAGGTTTCATTGTACTAATAAATACATATCAATGCATGAATGTTGAAAATTTGAGCTACTTACCCATGTGTAAGGAACTTGTCGATATTACCCCCGACATTAGCGCCTCCTATGAAGAGTACTGAGGAGAAGTCCGAGAAGTAACGGAGGAAGTGGGAGAGGACCTCGTCGATCTGTATGGCCAGTTCTCGCGTCGGGGTCAGGATCACTGCGCCCACCTGTAGCCATGGTAACACCATGTTTCATCTAAATTCTATGAATGTGACACTTATTGACGAGGTTAGGATAGGTTACAACTGTGTGAGAGCAATATTCTAGTCACATCATGGAGGGGGGATACCAACAATTGACATGACGTATTAATATTTATAGCAATGTTGAGTGTCAAACAATTTCAAATATTTCCAGCAATTTCTTCAAATCCAATATTACCCGATTGCTTCATTACAGTATACAATCAGCAGTGTTTAAAATACCCGTCTGCTCGCCCGTTAAAGATGGGCCTTTTTTTTCTTGGACCGTAAACTTTTTACATGCACGTCCCATGGTCAGGATGATTTCGTTTACAAAAAGTTATAAAATACATAATATCAACTTATTAAACAAGTATAAATTAATCTCATCTCTTGTTATGTCCAATGTACAAAAACCATCTGGACTGGCAACATTTTAACCAGACTGGCAATGTATTAGACTTGCTAGTCCAGCTCTGTGACTGGATTTTTCTGAATTTTTAACACTGAAGTTCCCCTCATTTCTACCTTGAATCGATATTCAAACAAATATATGAGCAAGCAAGGATTAAAATGTAAATACATTGACAGGAGAGAAGCTTGCTGTGATTACCCTGGCTCTAGCCACAATGTAACTCCAGCAAATACCAGCCAAGTTTGGCAAGGATAGAAACTGGACTTTTATAGTCAGTTAACTCTCTTGCCTCGGGAAGATGAGTATTAGAGTATCAGAGTAAAAGGTCTGAGTTTATTGAGACTGGAGTAGAACTGGAGAAGCAGGAGAGACTGCATCAATTCATCAGTTACCTCGTTTTTCTTCAGGGGAGTCTCTCTTTTCTTCAAAATTTCCAGAAGAGGGAGAAGAAAGGCGAGGGTCTTCCCACTTCCTGTGACTGCTTCCACGGCGACATCTTTGTTCCGCAGAAACTGTGGGATACATGCTGCCTGGAATAGATGCATAACATGATGAAGATCAGAGTTGACTGTCGATGAGTAAATGTTGTTTAACATGTTTAATGCTGTAGACAGCTATAATTCTAGGTATATCAAGGCAGTTGGTTAATAATTGGTCAGGCAAACCAAGTCTCTAGCAAGAAACAAGCAGAGATGAAACACATTTAACTATGTATGGGGTCTCAGGACTGACAGGGTGTGAACAGAGAAACATACCTGAACTGGAGTCATCCGTTTGAACTTGAGAGCTTTAATAGCATTTAACGTTTCTTTGCCTAAAACACTGGACAGCGAGGTCCACTTGACGTCCATCTTTGAAGAACAGCTTCTGTAAAATTCCAGTAATTTAGACAGATGTGCAATAAACATGATAAATCGCAAAGAACAAATGAAGAACAAAGCGTGGTTTATTTCATGAAAAAACATTGTTATGTCATGATATCATTTCTGGAAATTCAAAATTGATCATGATCATGATGATTACATAGTAGATTGGAAAACATTATTTTTGTGAGGAAAGTGCCTAGTGACTTGTTCCCCACAGATGTAGCTGGGTAACATAGATAAATGCAATAGCTGAAATGATCACACCCAAAAGTGGGAAAGATATGACAATCAGTATTTGGAGAAAAGGTAGGGATAGTCCTTGGCACTCCTTTACCATCATGTCATCGATCCCAATTGTTTGGATCGGTGCTCATGATATCAATCACTGGATTGTCTGGTCCTGACTTGATTATTTACAGGCCACCATCATATAGCTTGAATATTGCTGAGTGTGGTGTAAAACAACAAACCAACCTTTACGATCATTTGAGTTGGGCACCACTTGCCAATCAAACAACCCTTTACCATGTTTACGGTAATGAAGCCCTTTAAAATACTTAAGGTTGGGCGTCACGTAGGGTATTTGTAAGCTATCCCTTTTAACGAATTCAATGTTAATTGTGGAGTGGGATACAGTATATACTTCCGTGTAGACATCAATTATCAGCACGTCACTGGACTGATGTACGCCAAATTGTGAAAGCTGAATTCATAAACAAGGCCAGTACTAATAGAAACATGTCCCTCGTAAGCATAACTTATGTATCATATGCCAGCCTCAAAACTTTTTAATACCGCCGAGTATGGTTAAAAAAAACAACAACTTTAGGCTCATATACATGTGTAACTTCGTTTCAATTTAAGGGCAACCAGACTGGTCTGGTCTGAGTGTAGCCGAGAGCCAGGATGGGGTCTGAGACAACAGGCATTGCAAGTGTCTTATTCACACTAGCTTTTTCACATTTAAAGGTTTATCCGACTGTCATGAAATCACCAGTATCAATCATACACCGTAAATTATCTTAATTTCATTCAATTTCAAATTCGGACACCAAAAATCGACTGTAAGACTGTAGATCTTATTTCTTTCTTAAAAACTGTTCAGTTTCTGAAATACGAGTACCCCGGTAGTCACATTGTAGATACGACTGCTACTTTAAACTGTCTACTTACTAGTTAGTCCGTAGTTGTGTTCTGTTATCAGTGTATTCTGTTATTTCACGTGCCACATGGAGGCTGACATATTGGTTTCTCTAAATTGAGGATCGGAATCCTGCATTGACTGGGTTCCCGTCTACTAAAATGCGTTAAGTTTTCTGCGCAAAGCAATAGCGGAACCAGATTAATTTCTTAAAAAGTACTAATAATTCTAAAACGAATTATGGTTTCCAGAATAAAAATTGTCTTATTATTTTCATACGTTTCTGCATTATTCGGTGTAAAAGACAAACTCTTACATAAAATGTACAACAGTTTATCTTTAGCACTCGTATACTATAATAATTTATTACACTTTTAAAACAACCAGTCAACATTCTTGTGCGTATTGATGTTGATTATGAATATAAAAGCTACAGGAAGTTCAGTGTTCCAGATGTAAGCCCTTTCAGTGTATACTGGAGATTGTCTTGTGTTGTGATGCAAATCTCAGATGTTTACCATCTTGGTGAAATCCACTAGCAAGGATATGGTGCTGACAAACCAAGAAACATGATCTGGGTGGATCTGGGAATCGAAGCAGTCACCATAGGTTTCTGGCACACCTTAGCATAGCAACTCTGCACGGGTAATTGCAGCACCTGAGTCAACTGGGACATCTAATGGGCTGTTAACCTGGGTCCTCCCGTTGTAGAAGAAGTGGTACTCACTTTGAAGGTGGGTGAAATGTAGGGCTGGGACGGGTAACTCGGGTACTTGGGTTGAGTGGGTACTGAGTAGGATCCGGGTACCCACAGGACTACCTGGACCCATAGTTAGTCACTGATATATTGTTTAATAACAAAAATTATCTAGAACTCTATGGTTACACTACAAGTCACTAATGTTCACATTTCTTTCTGACTATGCTCCCATTCCTTCTGATTTTTCATATGGTTGAAGAAAGATATAACTTAATTCAACTTCAGTGTATGCATGACCAGATTGTTTAATACATGTACATGTATCTAAATACGTTTTGCCAGGGCTATGCTAAAAATGTTCCCAATCAGGCATTTTGAGACATCTCCTTAGACCTAGAGTGGGTACCCAGGTAGGGTTGGGTAATAGGGGAGTGGGTATCGGGTAGTATATTTGGACTCGTCCCAGCCCAAATAAAATGGAATCTAATGGAGAGCAGTCAAGTTTATTGCACTTAAATATACTGTTGCTCTTGTGTAGGATGTGTTGCTGCTTTCACTGGTCAGGACTTATGCCAGATTAATTGAGGTGAAATGGGGTTTGGCATCGTGTCCAAGATTATTGCACTTATATAGCGACGTGCATGCACGTGTGTGTGTGGCTGCTTGTACTAGTCTGGACTAGCACACTGAGATACCATGCCACAGTTTAACATGAATACCCCACATAGACACAGTATACTGACTCCAAGCCAACCAGTCCTTGTTTTAGCTTTAGCCCCTCAATGCCGAGCGCCAAACAGGGTAACAAGTACCATCTTTTAATGTCTTTTGGTATTTTGGGATGGAACCCAGCGCCTTCCCTCTCTGTCAGACGCTCTACCTCAAGACCACAGAGGCAGTCCACACTCAGCAATATGCCAGCTATATGACAGCAGTCTGTAAATAATCGAGTCTGGACTAGACAATCCAGTGGTTGACATCATGAGCATCGATCCACGCAATTGGGATACGATGACATGCATCAACCAAGTCAGCAAGCCGGACAACCTGTTCCCGTTAGTTGCCTCTTACAACAAGCACAGTAGCCTGCTGCTGCAAGTATTGGTTGCTGAAGACCAATTCTACAGCAGATCTTGTAAGGATGGATGCATTGTATCATTGAATACATGTATATCATTGTGTACATTGATGCATCAGTGATCATAGCAGCCATAGTAACTCCATAGGCTTTCCCATGTGCTTGGACATATACTACTCAAAAGAAGTTAAGGGCCACCTGATTCTTTCATATTGCTTTTGTTAATTTGTCATACCATGACAGTAACTTCTTTTGAGTAGAATACCCTGGGAACCCCCAGCACTGCTTTGAAGAGCATTTACATCACAGCGTGTCAGCTTCATAACCAACCAATGATCATAATCAGGATAATTGAGGGATTCAAACCCACATCAGTGGCTCCTGACCCTACGAGTGAGTGAGTATGGTTTTACACCGCTTTTAGCAATATTCCAGCAATATCACGGCGGGGGACACCGGAAAAAGGGCTTCACACATTGTACCCATGTCGGGAATCGAACCCGGGTCTTCGGCGTGACGAGCAAACGCTTTAACCACAAGGCTACCCGACCGCCCCCCTGACCCTACGAAGGGACATAACCCTACACAACAAATTGTGGTGCCTTCACCACTTTACTCCTGTGCCTGAACTCTCACATTCTTACTGGACATAAGCTTCGAAGGAAACTACAACAATACAAGACTCAGGCTTTCATTTGATTTTATTCACAAAGAGAACAAATTTCTCACAGGAACATCTAAATCTACACTCCTTGATAGTCCATGGAACTCGTTAATGACATTATTTACACAAAGTCTACACAATTAAGCTTTCATTCATCGCTTGGCCATCGTCTCCACAGCTTTCAACACTTGCTCTGCTGTCATGTCAGTCAGGGGTAGGCTGGACTCCTTGCCAAACTCTGTAAACAAAGGGTAAAAGTAAAAGGAATAGGAATGGGCTGCAATGGTGAAACATCCATAAAATATTAAGGAAATCCAGTGTATCGTCTCCTCTTAGTATTTTCATGAAAATGGTAACTACCCTGGGACCTGTTCTATGATACAGTGTTTGATTGATTGATTGTTTGTTGTTTAACTCCGCACTCAGCAATATTCCAGCTATATGCGACGATCTGTAAATAATCGAGTCTGGACCAGACAATCCAGTGATTGACATCATGAGCATCGATCCACGCAATTGGGATATGACATGCATCAACCAAGTCAGCGAGTCTGACCACCCAATCCCGTTAGTCGCCTCTTATGACAAGCATAGTCGCCTTTTACAGCAAGCATGGGTTGCTGAAGACCTATTCTACTTCGGATCTTCACGGGTTTATTATACAGTGAACTTTCAATATTTCAGTTTGTTGTTGTATATGACAGCTGCAATTTACAATGAGAAATGAGTTATCAACAAAATATTCTTGCTTAATTTATTGTGAAGAGTATGTATATGACATATGACACCGCAACTGTGTTGACCTGTCATGTGGATCCCTTCAGACAATCACTTCAATCATAAAGCCATATTCTTTAGACACATCAGTCATAAATTATTTCATACAAGTCCCAACTTCCTTACCATATCTAGCATATAACTTGGGCTGGACGTTGCTACATTCTCTGACAAGGAAGGGAAACTTAGGGTTGTGTCTCTTTAGATCAACATAGTACTTCTCTACAAAATCCCTGAAACAAACAAGGTACAGTGATAATACATATATGTTAAAAAAACATCCTAAAATATGGTGTAGTACTTATATGCATTATTCACTGCAATGGTTTTCAGGTATATGTGATGCCTGCATTCGATCACTAAATAAAGTGTGGTAGTGAGTATGGTTTTACCACACTTTTAGCAATCTTCCAGCAATATCATGATGGAGGACACCAGAAATAAGCTTCATTTATTGTAGGGGATCCAAACATTGTTGGGGATCGAACCCAGACTCTAGATGTGTGACGAATGAACACCTTTAACATCTTGGCTACCCCACCGCCCCCAGTAATTAAAGGTCTGTAAACATGGTAAAGACATGTATGTCCACAAGTTGAAAAGGCTACATTGGATAATTACTCACTGCTGTTATACAGTGTAGAAATTGGCACTAGTCCTGTAGTCCTTACCAAACTGCCTAATAGTTAAGGTATCATAAGGACCAGTAGAAATTTGATATCTTTTAAGGTTTTGCTATATGTTATCATTGTAATGACTAGTGGACTAAAAATGTTAGTTTCTACTGCTGTGTTATACAATTAGGTTTTAAATTTTCCCATCCATATTGAACGCCAGCAACTTTTAGGATACCTTTAAGAAGACAACCTGTTACAGGTACGCAACCATATGGATCATAGCAGTGTGTTTGATTGCTGACAGTTGACAGTTTGACAGTAAAAGCTGGTAATGTATGTAGGCTGCACGTGTTGCTAATTTTAGTCACTCAGTCAGCATGGTCAGATTGTAACCTCACAATCAAAACTCAGTGATTATATTTATCGCTTAGAGAGTGATATTTCTTGAAAAGCACACTTTGCAAGTTTGTCATTACTTTAAGTAATATTACTTGTCGGCGAAATGGCTTGTTTTACTTTACAGGAATTACCACAGATACAGATCTGTATCTTCGTTAATATCAATCATAGCGATATTTCGTGATTCTATTTCATTAATGACATTACAAGTGGCGAAGATTATAGTGCTACATCTAAGCTGCAGTCGTGACAGTAAATTGACTGACAACTCTTACATTTAAATTTATCAGAAATGAATTAATGTCTAAAATTGAGAATGTTTCAGTTCAGCGGATAGTTTTCTCTCTTGGATACGTTTGCCCTTCAAAATGTCAACACAGAAATAGGGTAAAAAATGCCGTTTTGACATTGCATTTTCTTTCACTTCCAACTTCATCATGTAGGAAACCACACCTTACGCCCTTGCTAGCAGGTGACTTCTGACATAAATGAAAACGAAGTTCTTTTAGATGTTGTCCAAGCCTCAGAGCTGAAGCAGCCATTTTTGCCTGATGCCTACTTTTATGCAAACCCACGAAAACGGATTCTGTATATTGACTAAATATAAACAGGAATCTATTCCCCAACATATGGAATATTGATTAAGAACACTATATTATATACAGTAAACTGGCAATACTAACCAATACAAATAACGTTTACTGAACGGAAAGAACGCTTTCTTTCAAATAATCATTCTGAACTTTGCAAAATATATTCAATGAGCTCTTTGCATCATAAAGCGACCCCTCGGTGTAAATACTGTTATTGAAGCGTAGTATAGAGTTTACAGTGTGTCTTGCGACCGGATCAAAACATCGGGACATTCATTATATATTTTGATACGTAACGGGAAATAGTTACAAAAGATTTGTTTCCTTGTATATTTACAAAATATCGAACCACAGTTTGATTGGTGTATAATGTTAGAAGATTAAAGAAATACCTATCCCAAGAATATAATGCGGATTTTCCCTGATTTTTAGTGTCAATTCGTTTCCGGTATTTTGGTAGTACTATATTGTAAACAACCATGACAGTGTGTGAATACAAAAATGCATGTTGCACTTTAGAATCAAATGAAGCGATCATATCATCGATAATTATTGTAGCTGAAATTTTGTATATAATACAACTATTATAAAATCACAAGTTTTTGATGTTATTTTGAAAATAAAAATAAATAGAAAGTGATTAATGTGAACTAGTTTTAGGGAAATAGAACATTGCATAGTTTACATTGGAGTCCGATCATCTGCTATGTGCGTAAAGCAACGGACTTTGTTGTTTTACAAATTATTCGAAATTAGGGATAACCAAACACAACAATGACGATATTTTCTGTAAATAATTGTTCTCAGGAGAACGTTTTCCTTAGACTGTCACCTAGATAGCTGAATGTCACTGTCTTTATCGTACTTGAAACCAGAAGACAAGCTCAAGTCAAGAAAGAATACCTGAGCGAATATCTTCCTGTTTATGCGTTTTCGTTTATATATTTTTGTCGTCAGTTGAGAAACGTTTCAATATGGATAACTACACCAGAGTGAGGAAAATCGGAGAGGGTGCTTTTGGAAAAGCATTGTTAGTGAAATCAAAAGCAACTGGAGGGCAATTTGTTATCAAAGAAATCAGCATCGGAAGGGTAAATATGCCATTTCATGACCGTCATTTGTATCAGGAAATGTAAGACAGCATTAACCAAATTTTGTCTTATTTCCACTCATAAGCTGCTGATATAATGGTGTCATCAATATTGTTGCCAGTGAGATAGAGCTGTGAATACAGTGAATGATAAATTATTAATTGATTACTGACCTGATATGCCAATATGGACATCTGGTCATTCCTCTAACATGTGTAACTTTGCTTTATCAGGATATGACAATAGATACTTCAGAGCTATACTCAATGCTCTGTGCCCTTGGAGATTCTTACCCATTGAAAATGGCTATCACGTGCATAAGATTCCCATCTGATATGTACCTGATTTGGAGCATTATACTTTATTTGACCATTGTTGACTGACTCAAACACATATGGATGACCCGTACTCAAAAATAGATGATACATACACAAATTTTGAGGACCCATACCCATGTTTAATTATTTTTTGTTGTATTTGTAATGAGCAGGTATTAAAGCAAAGTTTTCATTGTGTTCAAAAACACGTTTTTGGGTATGAGTCATTCTGTTGATTAGGTAGCATGGAACGATATATTATTGCAGTAGTTAATTTATAATGGATCGAAATAGTGAATGCTAACTAACACATTAACTATGTCATAAGCAAAATGTTTCGTGTTCTTTATTTAAGTTATATCCTGTTTATGACACATCAATTAGGACTGATCGATACTGATTTCCTTTACCGAGTTTGGTAAACAAAGTACCTGTCACTGGCGACTCAAGGGCGGGCAACTCTATATTATCGTGGTATCACTATTTTGTGGTGTGATACATTTGGATTATGTGGTTTACATCACTTACTGTTTTTTATCATGCATAATCAGTTTTCATATGACCTAGGTTGGGTCAAAGGACATCATCCAAACAAGTTGATTTTTTTCTAACCAATTTCGAATGGAGTTAGGGGTAATTACACTTCAAAAACATTCCTGAAACTATCATAAAAAAGTAAACGTGTATACTTACGAGAGTACTCATGACATAAAGCAACGAGTCCTGTACTCGATCATGCGATAAAATATTGTGCTCAGTTTTGCATAAGTAAATAGTCAACAGGGGATGTAGGTTACGAGATTTACCGATACCGCAATAATATAGAGCCCGCGATAATATAGTCATACTATACAGGTGGGTATGGGCAATCCAACATTTGTGTGTGACTCCATGCGTCTACTGTGATTAAGACATTAAGTGCATGGTCACATATTGTTAAGGAGCTCGCAAAGATGTGAGGCCCGAAAACGTGTGATGTGGAGATCCACATGTACAAGGTACAGATCTCCATGGGTATAGATTGTCCAGTTCCCCGTCAAAGTTGTTCAGGCTCAAACCATATTGTAGCAAGAAATGCTTACTTACGTCATGTTATGTTGATATCAGGAGAGGCCTATTACGTTGATTACTAAAGCATGTTAAACATGTTAAACCCTGCTACATTTAAAAGATATATGTCAATACAGCCATGTTGGCAGATTATCAAATGCTATTTGGTCATATTCAGAAGATGCGGTAGGTGTGAGAAGATGGTCATTGACTGATGCCCCATTATGTTAAATGGTAGCTCACAGCTACCAGATCCAGTTTATCATGAATTCTTTCCCCATTGGTTTCAGATGAATCAAAAAGAAAGAGTAGAATCACGGAAAGAGGTAAGAAAATGTTGAATATATGTCCAATAAATATATCCATGATATCAGCTGGTTTGTGATTGCCTTAGGGTTTAATGCAATTTATGAACTGGAATATAGTATCTTTTTAGCCTTTAAAACATATAGAATTGTTCATAAATCAATAGTTGAATGGGTTATAAACTTAATAAACTGACTTAAAATAAAATTTCAACAAATAGAATTTTACTTCTCAACAAGTTTCCATCATGTCCATGTGGCACAGAGAAACTAATTTCATCAACAAAAACCGACATCGGTGAACTGAAGTACTTGTTGGATGTGGCCAAGTTTGTTTGGCAAATTATACTTCTCAGTCTGTGTTTTCATTGAACATAATGAAGATAACTCCCTATTCTGTGAGTCTGCACGATGTTGGGACTGAGGGGAGAAGTATCTCATAGTGTAACAAGTGCATAAACAGTGGGGTCCTTTTCATAAACGTAATGTTAAAAATGAAAATTTAAGGAACCCATAAGGGATAATGTTTTATTTTATTTTTTCGATTTATCAAGTGAGAGTTTGACATGTTGTAGGTTGCGGTGCTGGCTCAACTGAAGCATCCCAACATTGTGGCCTACAGAGAGTCTTTTGAGGGTAAGGTGGAAGTTTTTGATTGTGAAATACTTGAACATGCTTGTCATGTTGCAGTACCATGAAAATATTAATTTTGTTGTGACTGGTGATTTCAGCCACTTTGTATTGGGATACAATGCAATGATGTAAACATATCTTGCTCACTCATTGAACTGTACACTTGGACTTTATATAAGAAGATAATTCCAGAATAGGGGGGAATGGTTTGAGCGCTCTAAACACACTATATTTGACAGGTTACTGACTATCTTGTCGTGTTTGTTGTTTCAGAGAAGGGCTGCTTGTTTATCGTGATGGATTTCTGTTCAGGAGGTGAGTTCAGTTCCCTTCAACACTCTCTTATGTATCTTAGTTTATCTGTCCTTTGTATTGTCCGGATGCTTTACAACAAAACTCATATATCCCATATTCAGCAATATTCCAGCAATATGATGGTGTCCTGTAAGTAATTGAGTCTGGTCTAGGCCGTCCAGTGATTGATATTATGAGCAAAGACCCATCAGGGTACGATGACACGCAGTCAACCACGTCACCAAGTCTGACCACCCAAACCATTAAGTCGCCTCTTATGACCAGGGGCACGGTAGGCCCAGTCGTCTAAGGCGCCGCGATTTCGCTGTGCAGAGTTGCGTCCCTTGGGCACGCCAGAAACCTATGATTGTGGGTTCGAATCCCGATTTGCCCCGATTATGTTACTAGGTTTGTCAGCACCATACCCGTTCTCATTGTTTTCACCTAAGTGGTAAACATCTGAGACCTGCATCTCTATAGGCTTTCCTCCCACATTAAGCTGACACACCGTGATATAACTGGAATACTGTTAAAGGCAGCGTGAAACCCAACTCACTCACTCTTATGACCAGCATGGGATGAGGAGCAAGCCTAACCCGGCATCCCCACAGTGTCCCACACAATGTAAGGCCTGTATGTAGATCAATGGAACTCGTTATTCTTTGCCGCGGTAAAGGTTTATGTTCTCAGATAATCAATCCATATTTGGTGTCAGCATCACGGTGACTGCTGAAAAGGAATAGGACATTACCAGGGAAGACTCAATCTCTTTAGCATCATATGTTAGTGCTCGCTATCTCTACACATAGATCTAAGGACATCCCATTACAGGTCACCTCAGAATGACCTTTCTAAACTTAGACCGATCAATAAAATGACCTTAAAAATGTGGACATTAGCCAATCAGAAAGCAGCTTTCTTGAGCTATACGGCACTACACATAGTTTCAAATTGGTGACATCCCAGTACACTTCAAAAAATATTTTGACAATGTTCTCAATTCCAAATTTGAAAACTGAACAAAAGAACATTCTGGAATGTCAAATAGATTGTATGGCATCCCATTTCACCTCAGAATGACCTTTCCAAACTTTGACTGATCAATGAAATGATTTACACAGAGTGGACATTAGCCAATCAGAAAGCAGCTTTCTTGGGCTATATGGTTACATGTAAGCCTTATCAAGGTTGCATGATAAGAAAACACATTCCTATGGTCATTTTCCCAATCTTGTAAGCAACGTTTTGATTGGTCAGATGACGAAAGGTCATTCTGAAGTGACCGTAATAGAATGTCCTCGGATCTTTGTTTAACAGCATTGAGAACTAAGATCTTATTTTAATGAGACTGGGGAAGACTTTGGTGAAAGTCCTTTGATGGTGGGGATTTTTGCTCACAACATCAACCACTGGTCTGTGTGGTTCATGCTTCGTAGGGGCGGTGGGGTAGCCTAGTGGTTAAAGCGTTCACTCATCGTGCCGAAGACCCGGGTTCGATTCCCGACATGGGTACAATGTGTGAAGCCCATTTCTGGTGTCCCCCGCCGTGATATTGCTGGAATATTGCTAAAAGCGGCGTTAAACCACACTCACTCACTCACTCACTCATGCTTCGTAAAAGTTGTAAATGCAAGTTATAGCTGTAAGGAGACAGGCATCAATAATTATGTGCATTTTCTCATGATTGCTGTTTAATTACAACTTTATGTTACAGGATGTGACATTATGTTGTAACTACTTTAAGAAACAAAAACTGTTTAGATAGTACATGGAGACCCATGAAGATCCGGGGTAGAATAGGTCTTCAGCAACCCATGCTTGCCTGTAAAAGGCGACTATGCTTGTCGTAAAAGGCGACTATGCTTGTCGTAAAAGGCGACTAACGGGATCGGGTGGTCAGACTCGCTGACTTGGTTGATGCATGTCATCGATCCCAATTGTGTGGATCGATGCTCATGATATTAGTCACTGGATTGTCTGGTCCAGACTCGATTATTTACAGACCGCCATCATATAGCTGGAATATTGCTGAGTGCGGCGTTAAACAACAAACCAATCAATCAATCAAAGATAGTGCATGGAAAAGTAGCAGAGGTTTTACATCATGGAGGAAGAGACATCAAGTTCTTGTCTTCTGTCTGTTTCAGGAGACCTCTATGGTCGAATCAATAGTCAGAGAGGAATGTTATTTACAGAAGACCAGGTACTGAGATTCTTGTGGATAATGATGACATTACAGGAGGCCTTGGACTTTCCTGGTCCATCTATTTATGAGTCAAGTGGACTGTCAGTATCCCCGTGTTATGGGTTTTTGGACACTTAAGATACATTCATAGTTTTCTCGCTAATCACAAGAACAACCGTAAAACATCTCACTCATTTATAAAAGACAGCTTTATCTTAACATTAAGCCATCATCTGAGAATTTACTATGTCTGTGTGATGCCACAACCCTTGTTATAGCAGGACTACTCTCATCCCAAAACGTTTGATGTCTGAAAAACAGCCTTGCTTGACAACGGTATAAGGATCTATACTGAAACTTCACCTTTACAGTAAATAAAGGAGTCGTTATCTATAAATTATCTCTTTTCTGTCATCCGTCAACTTCTAAGTAATGCCTATCAAACAAACCGTCCAAACATTGCTGTAAAACATAATAGGAACATGTACAGATAATCTTGAAGTACCCACAGTTTGATGACATCAAGCCCATGAAAGTATGACAAAGTACACATGACAAAGGGAGTAGTGATGTAGTATGGTACGCGTAAATACACTTTAGAGGTGTTCACAGGGTGTTCAAAGATTGATTTTTGTGTGGACAAGTATGGTTTAGTCAGACACAAATTTGAATTCTTTTACTCACGCTAGGTGCATGTAGACATAAATATTAGGTTGCATTTTTCAATAATAGGTTTCACTTGTGCATGTTTTGTACAGCTAAATCGAGCTCTGTTTATGCTACGGATAGCATGACTTCATGGTTTGCTGATGTCACTGGTATCTCTGCTTTGGTATCAGATCACTAAATTTACTTGCTTACTTTGATAAGTCAACTTGATTATTTTGGAAATGGGATGGACAGTTTGTATTTCAGATTGTGTTTATATTGCCACCCACAGATTCCACTGATTATGTAATTATATTGTTACCAGATAATGAACTGGTTCGTCCAAACATGCCTGGCTATCAAACACATCCACGACAGGAAGATCTTGCACAGAGACATCAAGTCACAGGTAGGTGGCAGTTAGGGGTGGAGTCATTGTGGGGTGATATGGAGGCTGGAGTGAAGTTGAGGTGGGTAGGGGAGGTGGGTAGTAGGGGTGAGGTGGGAAGAGGGGAGGGTGATGTAGGCAAAGGGTGGGGTAGTAGTGTAGGGAAGAGGTGATGGTGATGTAGAGTGGTTTTTGGGGTGATGTAGGAAAGGGGTGGGGTAGTAGTGTAGGGGAGGGGGAGGGTTATGTAGGGTTGGGGGTGGAGGTGGGGGTGATGTAGAGTGGGAGGGGGTTGATGTAGGAAAGGGGTGGGGAGATGATTATGTAAGTTGGGGGTGATAAAGACCGATGTAGTAATCATGATAACAATAGAGGGACTTCGAGGGATGGAGAGCATGGTGAGGGTAAGGGAAGAGTTTCAGTGTTGATGAAGAAGAAAGGGTGAAACTGTAGCATGTTAGGGTTGTGTGGTGAAGGTGATGTTATATAATATGTTTGTTTGTACTATAACAGTGAGGACTTCCACTTAACTGTTTCAAGGACTTTAACCTCAGGTATTTCTTTCAGAACATATTTCTGACCAGTGATGGAAGGATACAAATTGGAGATTTTGGTATTGCCAAAGTCTTGAACAGGTAACCAATATATTTTATTATCTTTGTTTTTTCAAATTTATTTTGTCCCTTTACATGTTTCTTGTATCCCAACTATTGATTAATTAAAATAATTAAAGATTAATTGTTAGCAAGGTTAGAATAAAGACTGAACGGGCCACAATGATACTTGAAGGGAACCTTTTTAAATTGTCACAAAGCATTGAGTTTGACTAGGATACCAAAGTTATGTATAATAATACTGATTAATATCAGTATATGACCTTGATGTTTCATATCTCAAGAATCTATGATTCCTATATTAGTCTCTGTGAACATTTTCAAGTATGGTTTTGTATCTCCAACGGAGTGTTTCTACGACGTGTGTGATTGTGTTTCAGCACTGTGGAGTTGGCTCGGACTTGTATCGGTACCCCGTACTACCTGTCCCCAGAGATAGTGGAGAACAAGCCCTACAACAACAAGAGGTAGGTGGGAGTAGGAATGTAGGTCTTTTATTGTCAGGAATGCAATTTGAAAATGTGTAGCATCAGTCTTCACTTCAAAGGTGGGACTAATTTGGGCCTGTATGCATCCTCGTCTTTCATATCCCCAGTCTATTATGATGTATATCCAGGCCCCATTTGCCACTGCAGGTTTGTTTTCCAGCCGTGTTCTGTTGGAATTACACAACGCTTAAACATGAAAATTAGACGTCCAATGAAGTTAGTGTTCTGCCATGATCACAACAAGCAGCGATAACACCGGTTTATGTTCAGTTCGGGAAAATGCTTCCTGAAATCAGTCTTTTTGACCATTTTTATCTTTCCTCAACCTATATATAGTGTTGTTCTAAACACGAAAGTGTTGAAATGAACTTCTAAAAAAGGACAAAAAGGGCCCTTTATCTTTAACATTCTTATGCTCAACATTGACTTGTGGATATCAATGTATTTGAAGGTGATTTACTCTGCATGTGCTTGTTTTCAGTGATATCTGGTCTTTAGGCTGTGTTCTTTATGAACTGACAACATTGAAACATGCAGTAAGTATAAATTGGTCTTGTTACCATGGTTGCAGGCAATGGAACCTGCATGGATCTCACACAATCTTGACATTACAACAGTCAAACATTGGAAGTTATTATGGTTCATTGGAACAGGGTTTAGACTGAGTCACATGGGTAAGGTAGCAGTGACAAATCCCCTTTTTTTCAGACACCTTACATGTTAACTGTACACACTCACATCCTTTCATTTTTTTCTCAATCCTGAATCCGCCTCTTGACTGTTCAGGGTGATGTAGAATCAAGATCCATACTGACAATGGATGACATGTTATCGGGTTTGGGGACCCAAATACTGCAGTCTACCCCCATGTTATCTTATCAGAGTTATCATACATAGAGTGTTTTACGCTCACCTTGACATTGTCAGTGTATCATAGGGCTGGGACGATACCCCAACTGCGTGATCTGAAACGTATCAGGATACATCACTCATGATCCGTTATGTATCACGATACTTGCTCTTATCTGTTTTCAGGAACATGAGACTTATCTTTATAATAATTTTATTTTCAGTTTGAAGCTGGCAATATGAAAAACCTAGTACTGAAGATTATCAGGTGAGCAACTATCTCATCAAGGCCAAATTCAAGACATTTAACATGCATACCGTATTCAACGTAATAAACGCCCACGGCGATATTTGCTAATATATTGGCTAGTGAACAATCCCAATTTGCACCCCTTCCGATCAATGTACACATGACTTATTTATTCGTGTATAATACGCACTTGTGTGTTATATGTCTCTTAATTATGGCCAATTAAATTCTGGAAAAATATATCCGTCGTATATAAACATTTCAGGCTGTCAGCATAAACTACTGGTACAAAATTTACAGTCATTTCACCAAAATAATATTCTAATAAGAGCCCCCTATTTCTAATTTTGAGAGCACTTATTACGTCGAATACGGTATGTGTATATTTGTTTATGTTCACAGCACTTCTGTTCATGTTTGTATCACATTGGTGAAGTCTTAATTCTTTCTCCGACAGAGGTTCGTACCCTCCAATACCACCCAAGTACACCTATGAACTGAGGGGCCTGATAGCCCAGTTGTTTAAGAGAGCTCCTAGGTAAGTCAGCAAGCAGTTCACTCAAACCATACAGTTAAGATCAAATAAAGTTAAAAAAAGGGTGTGAAATGAGGACCCCCTTTCTTTCAACTAGAACTAGATTTTAAAGTATATTCAAACATGTCAAAGGGTTTAATTGTTGTGAAAGTTTATGAAAATGTTCAAATGACAACCAACAAGCAGTTATTTCTATAACAACCAGAGGCTGGTTGGGGTCTAACGATCCATAAGTACCCACAAGGGGAATAGTAGCAAATTGTATGAGATGTTTGGCGTTTTTTGTTGTCAGTTTATTTAATTTAATCATTTAAACTGCGAGAATTTTGGTCATTTCTCATAAAAGAAGTTTTTAAACTTTCTTTGGACCTGGTTTCTTTTGCAAACTTACAATGGTTTTGATTTGATAAACATGTTGCAAACACTTACTTGCAGAGATCGTCCGTCAATAAACTCCATTCTCAAGAAGAATTTCATCATACCAAGAGTTAGAAATTTATTAACAGAAGAGGTGAGATATGCTCTACAATGTTACTGTGTTCTAGGGTTGTGGAGTTGTCCGTAGTTGGAGACAAAGTAGGGTGATGATATTAGACCACAATACAGGGTATGAAACTCCCCAAAATTTCAGCCAGACCACAGGACTGGCTAGCTGAAATACTTGCCAGCCCTGACCAAAACCTGCCTGCCCACTATAATCATATGTTTCTCAGGATAAGCTAACGGGGTTTCTTTTTGGTTACATTTTATCATTCATCTTTACATGTGAATTAATGCCTATCATTGGGAAATATTTAGAATATTTTCACATATGAAATATAACTTGACCGTCGGGCAGGGGGATTTGAAAATCTGGCAGCCCGAGTTGAAATCAACCCGTCTCGGACGGTCGGGCAGGCAGGTATTTCGAACACTGCACAATACCATTAATGGTGCCAGATGATTGCCGAAGTTGGGTTAGTGAAGTCAGAGTAAATGTGGTTTCGCTGTAAGTCTATTGCCGAAGTGATTTTAAATTTACTCACTCACTGTAAAGCTTTGAAAAAGTCTACTGCCTGGTACCCTGTAATCTTACTCAGTGTGCTCGGCCATGCTTTTCAGTAGAAGTACTATTATTGCTGTGAACCGTAAAGATATGACAGTTATTAGACATAAGACCCATGAAGATCTGGGTTAGAATTGGTGTTAGGCAACCCATACTTGTTGTAAGAGGTGAGTAACGAATCGGGTGGTCAGGCTCACTGACTTGGTTGATGCATGTCGTATCCCAATTGTGTTGATCAATGCTCATGATTTCAATCACTGGATTGTCTGATCCAGACTCAATTAATGGCAGACCTTCGTCATACAGCTGGAACATTGCTGAGTGCCTCGTTAAACAACAAACTTAGATATGACTAACTGTAAAGAATTCTATGATTCTTAAAAATACAGTAAATTTTTTGGAAATTGTTTTGTAAAAATCTGAGGCATGATTACTGTCAGAGATATGCAAAGAAAGAGGTTTATCTTACAACTAGGGTGAATTCTGTGAAAAAATGGTTAATTCTGAGGCATATTGACTCCTACAAGAATAAGAATTCATCATAAGGGATAAAAAACCTGTTTACCATTAACTGGCTGGTTTCATGTCTGTTCATTAACTGGCTGGTTTTATCTCTGTTCTCTCCCCACAGAAAATGGCAGAGGAGTTCAGCCACACACTTTTACATGGACAGAAGATAGCTCGTGCCTTACCCCCGCCCCCCAGACCTGCCTCAGGTGGGTACAATACATAGGCACATCCCGAAGGCCCTCCTACGCACACACACACATCTCTTTTGAAAACCAAATGTAGTATGCCAAAATTGTCTGAGAGAGAATGTGATATTTTGGACCCCTTCCTGTTAGAAATGCTGGATCCGCCCTTGCATTATCACGTTATTCTTGTGTGATCATTCTGTGATTTGTTTCTGTGAATGAAAGTAATAAGACTTGATACTGTTACATATAATTGTTCCTAAGCAACACTCAGTATGGAATAACATTTTCATTTGAATAATATGTCTAATATTGTTTTAAAATGGTTTAAATGAAGATTCTAATGAGTTAAAATGATACTTGTGTGTTTTGGGGGGCAGTCAGGTAGCCTTGTGGTTAAAGTGTTCACTCGTCAGACTGAAGACCTGGGTCCAATTCCCGACATGGGTACAATTTGTGAAGCCCATTTCTGGTGTCCACTGCCGTCATATTGCTGGAATATTGCTAAAAGCGGCGAAAACCAAACTCACTCACTCCTTGTATGTTTTTGGAAGATATATGTCTGTTGTTTGAACACTGTTTCAGCCGGACCGAAAAGGGCAGCTCCATCACCCAGACCTGGCTCCGCAGCAGGGCGGTACAACCCGGCTGCTGTGTACGGAGCTCCTCTAGCACGGAAGTCCAAGGAAGTCCGGTACATTTCCCTTCGTCATTGTTCATGCTTTAGGAAGATGAATACTCATGTATCTTGGTTGTACTGATTTCTTGGTTTGTTGTATTTACTCTCATAAGACACTCCCTGTGAAGATCCAGGTTAGAATAGGTCTTCAGCAACGCATGCTTGCCATAAAAGGCGACTATGCTTGTCGTAAGAGACAACTAACGGGATTGGGTGGTCAGGGTCGCTGACTTGGTTGATGCATGTCCTCGAATCCCAATTGCATGTGTCGATGCTCATGATATCAATCACTAAATTGTCTGGTCCAGAATCGATTATGGACAGACCGCCGTCATATAGCTGGAATATTGCTGAGTGCGGCATTAAACAAACAAACAAATCTCATATGACATACTGGAGTGTTGGACTGCACGGTTTACCGGTATACAAGCATACTGCAATACATGTTTCCAACGATATGTATTGCAATATCATTTCTGTGTTCCAGTAGATTGGGTAAAAACATATAACAAGTTTTGGTATTATTTGTTTTGTTTAACCTAAAACATACAGAGAAATTCATTCATAAGATTGATGCTTTTGTTTGAAATGGTTTGACAAAATGATTTTCTTACTTTGTTATCTCCCCTGTATCCTTGACATCCTTACATATTGCATAATTTCTGCTTTCCTGTATATTGGGTAAAAATGCATAACAAGTTTCATTACTATTTGTATTTTTTAACTTAAAATCTACACAGAAATTATTCGCAAATGATGTTTCCCTTCAAAATGTATTGACAAAACAGCAGAAATGTGAAAGTGATTTTTCTCTCACATTGTTATCTCCCCTGTATCCATGACTACAAAACGGTGTTGACTGACCACTCTGAGTGATATTTACTTCAGGATCTGAATGTACAGTCAGTGTCAATCACTGTCAGACACTTTAACTCCCAATATATCGCACTACATATCACAATATATTGCAGTACATTTTTTAGCCAGGACACAGCTCTAAGGAGTGTACCCCTTTTCCAATTTTGGATTGTATCAATTTGATGTTTAGGGTTTGCTTGTATATGTTGTTAGAAATAGACAATAAAATATTGGGGTGTTGAGAACTTTGATGGTGCTTGTCAGGTATCTGATGGCCATTGAGTACATTCACAATTATTTCAACTTGAAAGCCTTTGTTTAAACTTTAAAGCAACTGTCACCTCTCACATGCTTCTATGTTATCCAGACCTGACCTAAAGAAGAGGAACGCCAGTGGAGGAAAGATCATCCCAGGACAGCAGGTGTGTCTTGAGTTGTACCTTCCCTTGTCAGAATCTAACAAGGCTAATGTTATGAAATGGCATCTTCCCGAGGCAAGGAAGTTAACTGCCTCTAAAAGTCCAATTTCCACCCTTGCCAAACTAGGCTGGAATTATGGAGTTTGGTGGACAATGGGTGACTTGGTACTACACAAGTTGACAACAGTTTAGCCACTAGTCCGAAGCATGAATCAAGTAAATACTGAGACTAAAGATCTATTGAACATAATGCTAAAATACAAGTTCAGGCTGGTAGATTCAAAAGTACTTGGCACAGACTGATGACCACCAAAATATTCATGAATTCTTCCGCTGTCAGTAACAGCTTGCTTTATACCAAAATGGTAATGTTGTGGTCACTGTTGTTGTGTCATGTTGTTTTGTGTGTCATGTTGTTTTGTGTGTCATGTTGTTTTGTGTGTCATGTTGATGTGTGTCATGTTTTGTGTGTCATGTTGTATTGTGTGTCATGTTGTATTGTGTGTCATGTTGTTGAGTCTCATGTTGTTGTGTGCCATGTTGTTGAGTCTCATGTTGTTTTGTGTGTCATGTTGTTTTGTGTGTCATGTTGATGTGTGTCATGTTTTGTGTGCCATGTTGTTGAGTCTCATGTTGTATTGTGTGTCATGTTGTATTGTGTGTCATGTTGTTGTGTGTCATGTTGTTGAGTCTCATGTTGTTGTGTGCCATGTTGTTGAGTCTCATGTTGTATTGTGTGTCATGTTGTTGAGTCTCATGTTGTTGTGTGCCATGTTGTTGAGTCTCATGTTGTATTGTGTGTCATGTTGTTGAGTCTCATGTTGTTGTGTGCCATGTTGTAGGACTGGGAGAGGAGGAAACAGGACTTGGTTCAGAAGGAAAACAAGAGACGAGAAGACATGAAGAAGAGGGTAGGATTTCCTTCTCTTTAACTTCTTTGTAGATATTGATAGAGCAGACTAGTGGATAAAGCAACTGCTTGTCATGCTGGCGACCTGATTTCAAATTCCACATTCGGAAAAATAGGTGTAGCTTTTCACCTGATGTGTTTGGTTTTTTTGGCTTTCTTCACACACTGACTGTTGAGACTCCAGTGAGGAATATGTGATGCCTCAGGTCAATACAAAGACTAACGATTCTTAATGTTCCTCTGATGTTACATCTTAGCCATTTTGAATGAAAATACTTTCTATTTGCTTGGAATATTTGAACTTAGCTAGAATATATGTCATGAGACCTCTTATATATATGTCATTGAAGACCCAAGTTCAATTAATCACATGGGTGCAACATGTGAAGGACGTTTGTGGTGCCCTCACTCACTCACTCACTCACTCATTCACTCACTCACTCACCCACCCACCCACCCACTCACTCACTCACTCACTCACTCACTCACTCACTCACTCACTCACTCACCCACCCAACCACCCACTCGCCCACTCACTCACTCACTCACTCACTCACTCACTCACTCACTCACTCACTCACTCACTCACTCACTCACCCACTCACCCACTCACCCACTCACCAACCCACCCACCTTGTCCCTGCTGTTTTATCACTGTGATGATGTATGTCCTCTGTTTCAGGAGCAGGAAATGTATGCCAGACAACACAAGGACCTGGTTGAGAGACAGAAGGCAAGTTGCTAGCAGATCTCAGTATATCTTTTGTGTGACACTGATACAGTGTCTGGGGCTGCATGTGGGAGCTCATCTGTGGTGATGCAATTTTTCACTCAGGCAAGCCAGAAACCAGTGATCTTGGAGTGAAAATCAAGCTTTGCCCTGATGATATTCTAACCAGCATCATACCCGTGTTAGTGGGTTTCACTGAAGTGGCAAACATCACTTCAGGTTTTCCTCCCGCATCAAGCTGGCATGACATCGTACAACTGAAGATTCTGTTAAAAGCAGCATTAAATCAGGGGTTAACTTTGGACAAACATTCATTGCTAGATTAATCTAGATCAGAAAGGTTGAGGTTGCAAACAAGTGTGCTGTATTTTCAAAGACCAGATTCCAAGGTTCGTACAGGCTTGAAAAGGCCTTAGGTTTAAGGTCCCTCTTGAAAAATCGGGATTTTTTGTGTCAAACTTGAAAAGCCTTGAAAAGCACCAAGATGTACAAAATGACAAATACTTGTTCATGAAAGTATAAAAATTTATGACACAATTTATATTATTTGTTGGTTATGAAAATATATCTTGTTTGAAAATTTGTTATGTTCATGCTGCTTCTTAGATCTTGTGACTAATATATATATATATATATACCTTATTCAACATAATAAGCAACCAGGGCGTTCTCAAAATTAGAAATAGGGGCCTCTTATTAGAATATTATTTTGGTGAAAAAAAAACAGAGTTGAAAGATAAATTTCGTGCTTTATGCTGACAGCCTGTAATTTTTATGTACGACAGATATATTTTTCCAGAATTTAATTGCCAATGATAAAGGGTGCATATAACACTCGAGTGCGTATTATACGTGAATAGGGGTAGGAAGGGGTTTGGATTCAAACTTGCCTTGAGTCTCCTTAGCTGCTTTGTAGTTGAGGTATTGCGAGTTATTACAAATGCATATTGAGGTATGATGCTATGGCGTAGACTGACAGATGAGCATGTTTCAGATGGCTCGCATGAACAAGGCTCGAGAGGAGGGATGGAAGGGCCTCATTGACTCAGTCGGCTCTGATGACAACAACCCCCCGCCAGCTGTAAGTCACATGAACTCTTTGTAACTGTTAGCAGTTCCTCAAGGCCTGCATTGACATTCCTTGAACACAGAGTTCGAAATAAGCGGCTGCCTATAGGCCCAAGGCAGGTAGATCTCCGGTTTGGACCTTGTTTCAAATTTGTTTTGGTCCTTAGACCTGTAGTAAATTTACATGTCTATTCATTTGTGACAATAAGCTTTTTTTAATGAAGGCCTGAAGAATTTAGTCAGGGCCTGCAGCTTCTGTGGTCTGTGGGTCCTGATGGCAGTCTGGAAAATTGTTTTATTTCACACACTGCTTGAGCCAGAATATGTTGATGTCATCTGGAATAATTTCGTAATGAGCTCTCCTTGATAAAACCATTCAATGCATGTAAACATTTAAATCAATATTTCTTCACTACTCGCTCGGAATTAGATGAAATTAACAGAAAATATAGATATGAAACTTTTCAAGCGTCAAGTGAGATTTTGAAGTACAGGATCCTGACATGGCTAAGGGATGCAACTCTGCACTGCAAATTGCTCCACTGTAGAATACTGTCTGAATGTGAATGGTACCTAGAATTCAGCGCTAGAGGTAACTCTCAGCTATGAGCTGACAGACTGTGAGTCAACATACCCTAATTGCTCATTTATTGGATCGATATCAAAATTAGCATTTGCTTTCAAATGCATTTCAGAATCCTAACCCTGTCCCCAGACCTCTGCCAAGGGTAAGTCCTGATAATTTCCTTAAGCTTTTTTGCAAGTTACTGATAATTGTAATTAATCGAAGTAAAACATGTCATGTTGTATGAAGACTGTTTAATTTTCCAAGAAGTCCTGTATAAACTTTAACCAACAAAAATAGATGTACATTGGCCCAACTTGATAGATAGAGACCCATCTCTAGCAGACTGGCCGGTGTAGACTGGTGTAGACCGGTGTAGACTAGTAAACACTGATGTAGACTGGTTAAGACTGGTTTTCGACTGCTGCAACTGGTGTGGACTGATGCAGATAACTGGTGTAGACTGGAGTTGATTGATGTAGACTCATCCACCTGGTACAGACCAACAGGTATCCACTTGTTGAGGCTGAATCATGTACCTGATGAGGAACAAGTTGTAACTCAGGAGATAGTGAATAATATGATCCTGAATGACATTAAGGCACCATCATGGCTTGTTTCATGACTTTTCTTCCCCAGCCTGCTGTGGTTGGCCCTGAGGAGAACAAGGTTCCCCTGAAGGAGCGAGGCAACTACGACCAGTACAGCGACTACCTCAACAGGATCAAGGGAGAACGCAATGCCCGAGGTCATGAGGCACCTCCTGTTCCAGCACCGAGGCAGAATCCAGGTGGGTGCTCTCTGGGAGGAGGACGGAATAGAGCATGGAAGCTGATCTGTTGTGACATACCTGAAATACTGTTCATGAGTAAACCCAGTTCTGTATTGAACCCAGTTCTGTATTGAACCCGATTCTGTACTGAACCCAGTTCTGTATTGAACCCGATTCTGTACTGAACCCAGTTCTGTATTGAACCCAATTCTGTATTGAACCCAATTCTGTATTGAACCCGATTCTGTATTGAACCCGATTCTGTATTGAACCCAATTCTGTATTGAACCCAGTTCTGTATTGAACCCGATTCTGTATTGAACCCGATTCAGTATTGAACCCAGTTCTGTATTGAACCCGATTCTGTACTGAACCAAGTTCTGTATTGAACCCGATTCTGTACTGAACCCAGTTCTGTCTTGAACCCAATTCTGTATTGAATCCAATTCTGTATTGAAACCAGTACTGTATTGAATCTAGTACTGTTTTGAATCCAGTTCTTTATTGAAACCAGTACTGTTTTGAATCCAGTTCTGTATTGAACCCAGTTCTGTATTGAACCCGAATCTGTATTGAACCCGATTCTGTTTTGAAACCAATTCTGTATTGAACCCGATTCTGTTTTGAACCCAGTTCTGTATTGAACCCGATTCTCTTTTGAAACCAATTCTGTACTGAACCCAATTCTGTACTGAACCCAATTATGTATTGAACCCAATTCTGTATTGAACCCAGTTCTGTATTGAACCCGATTCTCTTTTGAAACCAATTCTGTTTTGAAACCAATTCTGTACTGAACCCAGTTCTGTATTGAACCCAATTCTGTACTGAACCCAATTCTGTATTGAACCCGATTCTGTTTTGAACCCAGTTCTGTATTGAACCCGATTCTCTTTTAAAACCAATTCTGTTTTGAAACCAATTCTGTACTGAACCCAATTCTGTACTGAACCCAATTCTGTATTGAAACCAATTCTGTACTGAACCTAATTCTGTTTTGAAATCAATTCTGTACTGAACCCAATTCTGTATTGAACCTGATTCTGTATTGAACCCAGTTCTGTATTGAACCCAGTTCTGTATTGAACCCGATTCTGTACTGAACCCAGTTCTGTATTGAACCCAATTCTGTATTGAACCCAATTCTGTATTGAATCCAATTCTGTATTGAAACCAGTACTGATTTGAATCCAGTTCTGTATTGAACCCAGTTCTGTATTGAAACCAGTACTGTTTTGAATCCAATTCTGTATTGAAACCAGTACTGATTTGAATCCAGTTCTGTATTGAACCCAGTTCTGTATTGAAACCAGTACTGTTTTGAATCCAATTCTGTATTGAAACCAGTACTGATTTGAATCCAGTTCTGTATTGAACCAAGTTCTGTATTGAAACCAGTACTGTTTTGAATCCAGTTCTGTATTGAACCCAGTTCTGTATTGAACCCGAATTTGTATTGAACCCGATTCTGTTTTGAAACCAATTCTGTATTGAACCCGATTCTGTTTCGAACCAAGTTCTGTATTGAACCCGATTCTCTTTTGAAACAAATTCTGTTTTGAAACCAATTCTGTACTGAACCCAATTCTGTATTGAACCCAATTCTGTATTGAACCAAATTCTGTATTGAATCCAGTTCTGTTTTGAACCCAGTTCTGTATTGAACCCATTTCTGTATTGACCCCGATTCTGTATTGAACCCGATTCTGTATTGAACCCAGTTCTGTATTGAACCAAATTCTGTATTGAATCCATTTCTGTATTGAACCCATTTCTGTATTGACCCCGATTCTGTACTGAACCCAATTCCGTATTGAACCCAATTCTGTCATGCACTAGTGATAATGTCTTGCCTGTGCTAGTGTTTTCTATCATGATGCCTGCTTTAGGGAACTACATGGCAGCACCTAGGCCAGGTCAGCAGTATGGTCAGAACAAGGCCGATCGAGACTACATCAACCGGGCGTTACAGCGAGGACCCAATGTCGTCAACAATCATGTGAAGCAGGCTGAGGAAAACAGGTACTTGCAGTCTTGTGTTTGCTCTAGTTATTACATACTAGAATACAGGTGCCTGTTCCAATGTTTCAATGTATGTGCTTGTCTGTTTCCCCTGTGGGATTCTGGCTTGCTGTAGTGACGACTAAATTAATCTGGTGTCAGGCTTGGTGATTTGGTTGATTGCATTTCATCGTACGCTTTCTTAGTCAGGCTTACGGGTGGCCCAGTCGTCTAAGGCGAAGCAATTGCTGTGCAGAGTTGTGTCCCTTGGGCATGCCAGAAACCTATGATTGTGGGTCCGAATCCTGGCTTGCCCCAATTATGTTTCTAGGTTTGTCAGCATCATACCCTTGCTCATGGGTTTCACAGAAGTGGTAAACGTCGAGGCTTTCCTCCAACATTAAGCTGACATGCAGTGATATAACTGAAATACTGTAAAAAGCAGCGTTAAACCCAATGCACTCACTCACCATATCAGTCACTGGTTTATCTGATCCAGACTTGATTATTTACAGGCTAGTGTCTTACAGGAGGAATATTGCTGTTGAATTTTGATATTATCCAGTTGAACATACTGAAAATATTGTCAAACAAGAAATTGCAAAAAATAATTTGTTTATGAATTATATACCAAGTTGTGATGTATTTTGAATATGGGGTTTCAGACGTGCTGCAGCACAGGCCTCCGAGAGAGCTAGACTTGCTGAGGACTTTATCAACAGGAAGAGAGCAGCGGCTTTAAACAAACAGAGGGGGCACGCACAGATGTATGGGGTGTGTAGTCATCACTAAAGTATAGAGTTGTCCGATGTTTGGCAGGTTTAGGAATGCATCGTTTTGTAAAGATGAACTGGTAGATTTCTCAAATGAATGGTTCCATGTCCAGTGGGTAGTTAATACTCAGTTCCACTTTGAAATAATGATTCTGGTTTTTATCACCAGTGTTTCCATATCTCTCTATGAGTACCTGTAATATTGATATGTCCTAAAGTGGGATTTAGAATCGGCCTGAGTATCATAAGATTCCTGGAGCATTATGATGTCAGTGTATCTGTAGGGGGTGTTTTCACCTGTTCCATGTGTTAAGTATGTACTTCTTCACTTCCAGTACACCCCTCCGGCTACCCCTATTTCTCGACCGGGCTCTGCAAGTAAGTCTCAGACAATGACTGCAATTATCCAAATCTCATTAAAATCAGATCTTAGTTCTCGCTACCGTTAAACAAAGATCTGAGGACATCCCATTATGGGTCACGTCAGACCGACCTTGCGCGAATTTTTTACCGACCAATGGAATGACCAATCAGAAGGCAGCTTTCTCGTGCTTTACAGCACAAATTTCAAATTGGCGACCACGCTTTGAATATCTACAAACATATTTTGACAAATTCTCACAAAAACACATTCTCGAATGGCTAATAGATGGTCTAGATTGTAAGGATTCAGTCATTAAACCCATAACTATCGTTTGGAATACCCCATGATAAAGTTTTCGAGACTGCATGATTAGAAATCACATTCCGACTGTCACTTTCATAATCTGGTAAGCGACGCACTGATTGGTCGGATAAAAGGTCGTTCTGACGTGACCCCTACTGGGATGTCTTCAGATCTTTGTTTAGCGGTAGCAAGAACTAAGATCTGATTTTAATGAGATTGCAATGATCCACACCCTGTATGTGATGATGTTAGCAGGGATGGCAAAGTCGTGGTGTGATGTCACATTTGTAAATGTCAAGAAACAGGCAGATCTGTAGCCAGTTGGGGGTTGGGAGTTGGGTATGGGTGGTTGTAGTGTGGGCAAATACAAGTTAGGCAGTTGAAAAACAGGTTTAACACCACAAATCGTTATGTAGTTTGTTCATGATGAGACAAAGGTGAAATGGGGTTTAACGTCACGTCCAAGATTATTGCACTTATATAGCGACGTGCATGCACGTGTGTGTGTTTGGCTGCTTGTGCTAGTCTGGACTGATGCTGATTTATAGTGCTACCACACTGAGATACCATGCTGCAGTTTAACATGAATACCCCACTTAGACACAGTATACTAACTCCGAGGCAACCAGTCCTTGTTTTAGCCCCTTAATGCCGAGCGCCAGACAGGGTAACAACAAGTACCATCTTTTAACGTCTTTTGGTATGACGCGGCCGGGGGTCGAACCCCGGACCTTCTGCTCTCCGGGCGGACGCTCTACCACTAGACCACAGAGGCAGTCGATGAGACAAGGGTTACAAGGACACTGATGTGTTGAGGTGAGGGTTTTTTCACCTGTTCTTTGACTGTGGACTATTTCTGTTGCCAGAGGGCGGTAAACCAGGTGGTGGTGCTGCCAATGCCAGGAACAGAGAGGAACAGGTGAGTGGTGATTGGCTGTCTTCTGTCATGGGTTGCTGTTGAAATATGATGACGGCATGAGTGGCCCATTGACACAACTCAATGTACAGAGTTATGCCCCTTAGTCATGCCAGGATCCATCATGGGTTTCACTCCCAGATCCCAGGCATTATAATCTTTGTTATTATCAACACCTTACACATGTTTGTGATCTTTTTATTATGAGTTGCTGAGATGCTGAAAAAACAATAAAACTGAAAATGATACAACTGAAAAGTTGATACCATGCGATGATGCTGTGTCTGGGAGTGTTCACTCAACCTTGAGCCGAAAAACTCAGCTTAAGCCATAGAAAAAGTGTAGTTTGTGTAGCATTGATATACATGCAGAGCTCCAGATAAGCTGCGTATCTGCGTAAAATACGCATCAGAAATGCAGAAATACGTAGTAAAATAAAATCCAAGCATATCAAACACGCAACGAACATTACAGATACGCTACAAAAATCAAACTTGTGCGTATCATCAAAATATTGTGAAGTAACACTGCGTATTCGATAAGCAAATCAGTAACTTATTTTGAAATTATATACGGGCATTCCATCAACCTTGCCAAACTCCACGATGACAGTTACATCATGATCATTTGCCATCACACTTTCTTGTGGAAGTATCGTGGTATTTTTGAGTCCTATAAAGCTCTCGAACCCACACGACACCAGTTTGCAGGGACTAGATGAATAGTGTTTTTAAATATTTAACTTAAATACCCACATGTGTAAAAACTAGTGGGTAACAGAAATTTGAATACCCAGATAGAATTACTGATAACCAATGATTTTAAAATGCATGGGTAAAATACCCACAACACCAAAAGCTTATCTGGAGCTCTGACATGTATGTATTGAGAACGCCCCGACTGCTTCAGGAGTACCTGGAGAAGCTGAGGCAGATCCGGGAACAGAACATGCGGGAACGCCGGAAGATGCAGGGAAAAGAAGAACAGGTCTGGTTATCTCTTTGTTTCTGTCTCTGTGTCTCTGTTTCTGTTTCTCTTTCTGTCTCTGTGTTTCTCTAGATGTCTTCTGTTTCTTTGTCTGTTTCTCTGTCTTTTCTTCTGTCCGTCATTGTTTCCCTGTCTCTAGGTAGGCCTGTGAAGATCTGGGGTAGAATAGGTCTTCAACCCATGCTTGCCCTAAAAGGCGACTATACTTGTCGTAAGAGGCAACTAACGGGATCGGGTGGTCAGGCTCGCTGACTTGGTTGATGCATGTCATCGATCCCAATTGCGTGGATCGATGCTGTTGTTGTCAATCGCTGGATTATCTGGTCCAGACTCGATTATTTACCGACCCCTGTCATATTGCTGAGTACGGCATTAAACAAACAAACAAACAAATCTCATAAGACATACTGGAGTGTTGGACTGCACGGTATACCGGTATACAAGCATACTGCAAAACACGTTTCCAACGATATGTATTGCAATATTATTTATGTTCCAGACAAACAAACAAACAAACAAACAACCCTATGTTTGTCAGTCCCTGTCTCTGCTTCTCTCTCTTTGGTGTTGTGTTTGTTGTGCAAGACTCATATATTTTAGCTGATCTGTAAACTTTGTAAGGCAAACTTATCAAAGGTTGTTATGTGTTTTGCTTTGTGATAAATTGTGATATGATTGAGCTGCACAATTTATGCTTCATGTAGTTTTGACTGTGTGTCAGAGTAGCACATCCTGTCTGCACGGCTGCACATGATACATATCGGCTTTAAATGGTTGGGGTGTCACGTTACGCCTACTGCATGCTTCAATGATCATTGGAATTATCAGCACCCTACATGTTTTTGTGAGTTACACCATTTCGGCAAAGTTTAGGGCATGCTGATATGCTTCATGCTTCATTACATAACACGATACTTGAGTACTAATGCGATGCAAAATTATATGCATCACAATACTGAAATTGCACCGTTTATGGATTATATTCTCCTTGCTTCATGTGGCCAAGCTAACATGACTAGCTTGCTCTGATAGTATTAAAAAATCGGACTTGGAATTTTCTTACAATCTGTGTCATTCTGAAACTTTATTGATATTTAAATTTTCAGAATTGATACAGGATCAATGGTGAACAGATACAAGGGTCATGTTTGGCACATTGTGTATCGTAAACATCAAGTGTAAACTTGTGATGCATTGATGCATCAGTGATTCGTGACACCCCTTGTCCATGTATTATGATGCATTGTGCATGAACTGTACTATAGTAAGTCATGGCACCTTGACCCCTGTGATGTAGTGATTAGCATATCAGTCATACACAATTTAGTTTTAAGAAAGGTGTGGATGATTCTTACACTGATGACTGTGTTGCAAGTACATCAGAGAGAGGACCCGGTGGGGATTCCAGCTTAGGATAGTCTTGCAATATATGCTAGTTGTAAGAGGTGACCAAATCGATCAGGTAGTCAAGCTCAGTGACAGCCTTCTGGAATATTGTTCTGGAATATTGTCGAGTGTGTCGCTAACAAACAAACCTATGTAAGGAAATGACACTGAATGAAGTTGTCTACTTCTGACTGTAGCCACCAAGTGGTCAAAGTGAACAGGAAGCCAGAAAGAAGAAGATGGAAGCTTTGAGGGTATGTTCAATAGTGGAGGGGTTGGAGGGTATGTTATACAGTGGAGGGGTTTGAGGGTATGTTCTACAGTGGAGGGTTCACTCTCCTACCCAGAGTTCCATGCGGCCGGCAGCCAGCTAGCATAGTACCTCTGCCACAGGCCAGCGCCATGTGACGATTCGTCACATCTTTCACAGTCCATTCAAGATATTGCATATGCTTTTCATCCGTTTCATGTTTGACAAGTCTACACATTTTCATAAACAAATGTCAAAGAATGGTTAACTTTCATTAAGAAAGTATGCAAATACGTAAAAATCTACTTGTTTTTGCGTAGTTATCCTATGTTTACATTGGTTGTACGGCTCCACGTGCTGTCATCGAAGCCCAACGGAGAACTAGCGACACGGTCACTTTGATGCATAAATATATATTGTCATGCAACTCACTGTCGCAGTTGTAGTAGCATATCTATATAGTTATGCCTAACAATATGTAAAGTGCCCCCAAATACTTGCATTAGTCCGTTCTATACTGATTTCTGAAAAAGCGCGTTTGTTTACAAACAAGAGAAAAGTCCGGTCACCTGATATGCAAATTAGCCTGTGGCAGGGGTGTTATGCTGAGTCACCACTGCGATGGAGTGTGTGGAGGGTTTTGAGGGTATGTTCTACAGTTGAGGTTTTTGAGGGTATGTTCTACAGTGGAGGGTTTTGAGGGTATGTTATACAGTGGAGGGGTTTGAGCGTATGTTCAATAGTGGAGGGGTTGGAGGGTATGTTCTACAGTGGAGGGGTTTGAGGGTTTGTTTAATAGTGGAGGGGTTTGAGGGTATGTTTTATAGTTGAGGGGTTTGAGGGTATGTTCTACGTTGGAGGGGTTGGTTTGAGAATGTGAATACATATGGACGATTTCCAGTGTTGTAGCTGCTTTTAACCAACAAATTAAGACAAAAGCCTGCTTCAAGTGAGGGAGACGTCAGCTGGTGCTGAGACCAATGAACACAAATTAAAATGCACAAACGTCAATATTGCTTGTGCAGCATAATGTATAAGAATATTCTTCCGACAACTTTTTCAAAAGTCAGGAAAATAGTGTAAAGGAGCATCTGTTGGTCGACCCCCCCCCCCCCCCCACACACACACACATACCTTGCATGGACTACTGCTGTTGCATGTTTAGTCTTGTTAGTGGCATGTGTAGATGCATGACAGCATCAGAGTACATCAGTATCTATTATCACTGCATCAACCACTTAATGATCATACCTACTGTATTGATGAAGAAACGTTGTGTACTGTATTTTTTCCATTGAAAAAATATGTCTTGCCAAATTTGTTCGAATGTTCTTCTAATGCCAATAACCTTGACATGGTCTGGGATTTCATGAGAATATGTTGACACAAATGTAAGTCCCCTCATTGCTCTGTGGTAGATTAGCTCCCCAGCAATCTATGCTGATCATAGAAGTACCAGATGGATCAGTTGGTCAGGATCACTGACCTGGTTAAACTAACGTGTTGGTTGTTGTTCACAGTATCAATCACTGGATTGTCTGGTTCAAACGTGATTTTTTGCTGGTTGTCATCATATAGCTGGGACATTACTGAGTGACTATAAACAACAAAGAAACAAACACTGTTCCATTATTTCACTTGCTGCAGGAGTCCTGCATATTCAGCGATACTTGAGTGTGTTGTCAGGTTGTGTTGTGTTGTATACAGAAGCAGGCTGATGAGTGGTCCCAGAAGAAGAAGGAAGAGTTGGACAAGGAGAAGCAGCAGATCATGAAGAGAATGAAGGAGAGAGAGGAATATGTGAGTGGCTTGTCTGTCTCAAAATCATAACACTCAACAATTCACAAGACTCTTGTTCAAAGACTTTTGGAGGACAGCAACTCAAATAACAGTCCATAAACATGATTTCTGATTTCATTAGTGTGAGGAGTAATTGCAAGACTGAACTGATCTAGCAAATTTGTCATGGTTCTGAGTCAACATTGCTGGTAGTCACAATCACATTGAAATCAGATCTAAGTTCTTGCTGCCGCTGAACAAAGATCTGAGGACATCCCATTACGGGTCACGTCAGAATAACTTTTCGCGAACTTTGACCTACCACTGATATGACTAACAAGAAGTCGACATCAGCCAATTAGAAAGCAGCTTTCTCGAGCTTTATGGCACTCCTTTTAACCTGGCGACTTCCATTTCAGACTACGCTTGAAAAAAATGTTGACACAGTTCTCGATAAAAAATTTGAAAACTGAACAAACGAACATTCAGGAATGTCTAATATATGGTTGAGATTGTATAGCAGTGCTTCCCACATACTGTGCGACGCCTCATCCCTTCAAATGTTTATCCCATGGAAGCGAGAGATAGACGATAATTTTGACGGAATCAGTCGTACGGGCCGTATCTGTCATTCAGAATACCCCGTGTCAACGTTTTCAAGGTTGCATGATTAGAAAACACATTCCGACTGTCACTTTCATGATCTGGTAAGCGACGCTTTGATTGGTCGGATGAAAGGTCATTCTGACGTGACCCGTAATGGAATGTCCTCAGATCTTTGTTTAGTGATAGCGAGAACTAGGATCTGATTTTAATGAGATTGTGGTAATTACAACATATTACTTAAACATGAAAGTCTGAATGCAAGTCTCTTCACCTCTTTGTAACTGTGGACAGAAACCAGGACGTCCTTCCAAATAGGTGAACGAGTGACATTTCCTTGACAATAATCAGTGTGACAGACTTACAATAGTGGTCCACCTGGTCCTAGGACCTGGTGGTCCTGGTGGTAGTGCTGTGGCTGTTGAGGAATAGGTCATTTGCATATTCCCTCCTTGTCAAAGTTATCAATGATGTCTTTCAGCAGATGGCTAGGTGACCTTATTAGCAATGTGCAAATGTTAGTCACATAATGGCAGGATATATAAAGCTGTCATAATTTGTAGGTAGATTGAAGATGGTTTTCTTCAATGTGTACATTTTCATTTTTCATTTGTTAGATGAAACAAAGAGAAGAGCAGAGGGCTAGAGAAAACAGGTGAGGTGTAACAGATGAAGGTAAGGTCTAACAAATGAGGGAGGGGTACAACAAGTGAGGGTGAGGTACAACAGAGGAGGGTGAGGTACAACAGATGAGGGTGAGGTACAACAGGTGAGGGGGAGGTACAACAGGTGAGGGAGAGGTACAGCAGATGAGGGTGTGGTACAACAGGTGAGGGTATGGTACAACAGGTGAGGGTGAGGTACAACAGGTGAGGGTGGGGTACAAGTGAGGGTGAGGTACAACAGATGAGGGTGAGGTACAATGGGTGAGGTATAACAGATGAGGGTGGGGTACAACAGGTGAGGGTGAGGTACAGTGGGTGAGGTACAACAGATGAGGGTGAGGTACAACAGGTGAGGGTGAGGTACAACAGGTGAGGTACAACAGGTGAGGGTGAGGAACAGTGGGTGAGGTACAACAGGTGAGGGAGAGGTAAAACAGGTGAGGGTGAGGTACAACAGGTGAGGGTGAGGTACAGTGGGTGAGGTACTGTGGGTGAGGTTGAGGTACAACAGGTGAGGCTGAGGTACAACAGGTGAGGTACAGCAGGTGAGGGTGAGGTACAGTGGATGAGGTACAACAGGTGAGAGTGAGGTACAACAGGTGAGGGTGATGTAAAGTGGGTGAGGTACAACAGGTGAGGGTGGGGTACAGTGGGTGAGGTACAACAGGTGAGGGAGAGGTACAGCAGGTGAGGGTGAGGTACAGTGGGTGAGGTACAACAGGTGAGGGTGAGGTACAGTGGGTGAGGTACAACAGGTGAGGGTGAGGTACAACAGGTGAGGGAGAGGTACAGCAGGTGAGGGTGAGGTACAGTGGGTGAGGTACAACAGGTGAGGGTGAGGTACAACAGGTGAGGGAGAGGTACAGCAGGTGAGGGTGAGGTACAGTGGGTGAGGTACAACAGGTGAAGGTGAGGTACAGTGCGTGAGGTACAACAGGTGAGGGTGAGGTACAAGTGAGGGAGAGGTACAACAGGTGAGGTACAACAGGTGAGGGTAAGGTACAGTGGGTGAGGTACAACAGGTGAGGGTGAGGTACAGTGGGTGAGGTACAACAGGTGAAGGTGAGGTACAGTGGGTGAGGTACAACAGGTGAGGGTGAGGTACAACAGGTGATGGTGAGGTACAACAGGTGAAGGTGAGGTACAGTGGGTGAGGTACAGTGATGAGGTACAACAGGTGAGGGTGTGGTACAACAGGTGAGGGTGTGGTACAACAGGTGAGGGTGAGGTACAACAAGTAAGGGTGAGGTACAACAGGTGAGGGTGAGGTACAATGGGTGAGGGTGCAGAGCAGTGATCCAACAACATAATGTCATAAAACACAAAGAATGGGCATCTCAGATTATGGCCTGATGTGGCAAGTGAACTCTTGAAGCACTAGATTATCAAACTGGCCCAGTTCTGACCTGGAAAGAGCAGTGGGGTAGCCTAGTGGTTAAAGCGTTGACTTGTTACGTCGAAGGCCTGGGTTCTATTCCTCACATGGGTCACAATGTGAGAAGCCCATTCCTGGTGTCCCCCGCCGTGATATTGCTGGAATGTTACTAAAAGTGGCGTAAAACCATACTCACTCACACACTCACTCTAACCTGGAATCTTTACATAATTCATTGATCATATTCATTCATCATATTCCAGGCCGTCAACACCCAAAGTGAACTTGAAGCCAGTGGCAGCAGTGCCTATCACAGGGGCTCTACATGCAATAGGGGCAGTCGAGGAGGCGAAGTCCCCGGATAGACCCAAGTGAGTGGCACTGTAGTACCATGGAGGAACTGCTGCTTAGATAACATGTTGTTTCAGGTGTCAGAATACTGGGTTTGAATTAGCCATTATTAACCTATTCTTGTTGTAAGAGGTGACTATGCAATCCTGGATCAATTTGTGGATCAGGCGTTGTGACTTGGGGGATTGAATGTGATTGTACCCCACGACATGGCACGTTGCTCATAATATCAATCACTTGTTTGTCTTGTCCAGACTTGATTATTTACATGTGGTTGTGATATAGCTGGAATATTGCTGACTGCTGCATTGAATAACAAACACAGGGCACACACCTATCTGGTTTTGTTGCTTCATATATATTTGATGCATACACTTCCCGAAGTATTATCTATTTCATTTGGACACACCAGAAACCTATGATTGTGGGTTCGAATTCCAGTTCGCCCCGATTCTGTTTCTCGGTTTTGTCAGCATCATACCAATGTTCGCGGGTTTCACCAAAGTGGTAATCATCTGAGACCTGCATCACTTCGGCCTATCCTCCCACCTTAAACTGACAAGCTGTGATATAACTGCAATACTGTTAAAAACGGCAACCTCACTCACTCACTCACTCACTCACTCACTCATTATTCACTCACTCACTCATTCATTCACTCATTATTCACTCTCACTCACTCATTCACTCATTATTCACTCACTCACTCACTCACTCACTCACTCACTCACTCTATTTCATTATATCAATTCCAGGAGTGCTAAGCAGCAAAAGAAAGATGAAATACTGAAGCGATTAAATGATAAGGTGAGCCCTGTACAGTTTCTTGTTGTCTTGAAAGAAAAGCATCCAACTGTTGTCCTGAACTGATGTCTCTCATCACGGCTTCTTGATGATGAAATGTTGAAGGATTTTGGCCATACATTGTATTTGATGTTTCACCATTGATAATAACAATGTTCATGATGAGAACCATCCTTCTCAATCAATATGAAGCTCATCAGTCACAAGGACTGATGTTGTGTTGGAATTGTAACCAAGTTCAGTTTGTAGTTGGTTCGTAAAGTCAGTCTTATTCATAAAATGTGGAAAGAAATAATATGCATTTGAACCTGTAAAAAGATGATTGGCCATTGATAGTTTCAGTATTTATTTCCACATCCTTTCTTGTAGGGTCAAGGTCGAAGTCAGTGGGATAACCCTTCGACCCCTGACCTTGCAATACAGGAGGAGGACGATGGGTCAGGGACGGCAAGGTCGAAGTGGGGTGAAGCTGATAAAGGGGATCTGGCCCATCTACCCCTCGAACAAACTGCCTCGCAAATGGAAGGTAATGTACACCCCTTTCACCAGAACATTGTGATTTAACTGAACCAATTGAGACAATATTTATTAAAGACAGGAATATGATTTATTTTTCATAAACTCATCATTCAGTAAAGAACACTGGTAATGATATTATATCTGTCCCAAAGTGGCACAGTGGATCAGTGGTCTAAAGAGTCACAGAGTTGCATACCTTTCTCATGCCAGGATCTTCTCGAGGCAAGAGTGTCCACTAGACTATATCAAATCTAGTTTTCACCCTCAAGACAACTCAAATCTATTCTGATTCTGACCAACCAGGTAATTTTCTGTGGTAGTCGACATCTTTGTGAAGACATTCAAAATAAGAACAAGCCGATTGGACATTGCCTTTTGATACAACTTGATTCTACACGGGTTAGAGCCACGATTGCGCCAAGAAAAGTCAAGGGTGAAAACTGGACATACAGATACTGAAATAGGGCGGTTGACGCTCATGCCTCAGGAAGATGGTCAGCACCATTGTGGGTTTCACCAAAGTGGCAACTTCCACAACCTACATCACGCTGCGACATACCTGTTATAGTGTTCCAAATGATTTCAGGCCCAAATCAGTCACTTTATCTTCTATGAACCCGTGAATGTAGAAGAGGTCTTCAGCAACTATTTGTTGCCGTAAAAGGCGACAATGCTTGTTGTAATAGGCGACTCATGAGATCAGGTGGTCAGGCTCGCTGACTTGGTTGATGCATATCATCGTATCCCAATTGCATACATCGATGCTCATGATGTCAATCACTGGATTTCTAGTCCAGACTCGATTATTTCCAGACCGCCGTCATATAGCTTGAATATTGCTGAGTGCGATGTTAAACAACAAACGAACAAACAAACAAACTAAACCATGATTGAATGTTGAGAGTATGATTAACCTAGAGTCCTGTATTTGATAAGCCTTTGGACGCAGTGTGCCATGGTCAGAGTCAGAGTTACACAATGCTCATCAACTTTAGTGGGTTTCTTCTTGTGTGTATTCAGCAACCTCTGCAGGAGACCAGGTTGTAAAGTCAGGAGTTACCTCCCCTCCACCAGTGACCCCCCGGAACCAGTGGGGCAAGCCGAGTGATACACTGGTTGGTGCTCTGCAGAAGATGCCGATCTGTGATGCCACTATGACCATCAACAGTAACCGGTCAGGTCTGTGGTGTTTTGCTGCTGTCCTTCCTCTGTCAATGTGCAATACACAGGGAATACTAAGATCATGAAGATGAACCCAAGAACTGTAGAGAATGTCAAAAATACTGGAAATTTGTTTTCGTTGGACATACTGAACATTCTGAAGTAATGTGTTGAGAAAAAAAATGGTCTGCCCCTCCTTTGAGATTAAAAAAATATGTATTTTGAAGCAGAGATATCTTGCTGTCTTAACAAAAATCCCTGGCCCCTTGTCAGTCCAGGGCCCTGTGGCACAAAGTCATCTTAGCGCTTCTAAAGGTGATTGTAACTCCCATACTTTAACACTGGCTTACTATAGTCGTAGCGCTAAGATCGCTTTGTGGAATTGTGCTCTGGTGTAGCATAGTTTATGGTCAAGGATATTCAATACTTCACTTACACAACGGCGATCATCCGCTATTAATCTCCAGGGCTTGCATTTCGGTAAACCTACACTAACCCTAGGATCCTTTTTCATACTGCTTTGAAATCACAAAAAGCACAAGAATGGATCCAGGGGAGTGTCCGAAATAACTGCCTGCCCGTGGCTGGTAACTCTTCTGTCGGGCTGCATGAAATGTTTGCTCAACATGCTCAACCGTCTGGCAGATAATTTTAAGATTTCTTATGAATTCAGTTTTATTATGTTTGCATTGTTTTAACCTAATGTGATTTGTCTCTTAGTTTTTTCAATTTTTCAATACTTATAATGCCTGAATATGGGCATGTATCTTAGATGATGGGCAGGCAACACTTATGGGTCACCTGGCTGACTTTTGATCTTGTAGACAAAGTTGTGTCCAAGTGACTTGAATCAAAATACTGTGAGTGATACCGTTACTTGTCATCACACTGCTGACCCTTTATCGACTGTCTTGTTGGGTTATAAAGTTGTTTCAAACACTGATCCAGGGGTTACTGTAGGTTTGCCTACAGATATGTTTGTCCTGGAGATATAGGGGATGAATGTCATGTATCAGATTTATATACCGGTAAGTACTATTGCCTATATACCAGTAGAAAGGACATCCATTAATTGGCCCTCTATTGAGAGATTTGTGGCTCTGTGTCTTTGACTAACAGAATCAGATTAATGGAACTTGAAACATATACTCTTCTTCTCTTGCTATAGGTGGCAGCACCAGCTCCCAGGGTTCTGAGTCACCAGCACCACCCTCCCCATCTCCTGTAGTACCCCCAATCTCATCCGGGGTGGGCGCCACCATCACCATCTCCAAGACACCCATACAGAAAGGAACCATAACAATTAAAGCTGCTGATGATGCTGCAGTGGCAAAAGCTGCCAAAGATGCAGAGGCTGATACTGCTGAGAAAACTTGTAAGTGGATGTCTGTTGTCATGAAAGTGTGTTTTGAGATCTGCAGATCTACATGAAGGCTGTTGTCATGAAAGTGTGTTTTGAGGTCTGCAGATCTACATGAAGGCTGTTGTCATGAAAGTGTGTTTTGAGATCTGCAGATCTACATGAAGGCTGTTGTCATGAAAGTGTGTTTTGCGATCTGCAGATCTACATGAAGGCTGTTGTTTTAAAAGTGTGTTTTGAGATCTGCAGATCTACATGAAGGCTGTTGTTTTAAAAGTGTGTTTGTAGATCTGTAGATCTACATGAAGGCTGTTGTCATGAAAGTGTGTTTTGCGATCTGCAGATCTACATGAAGGCTGTTGTCATGAAAGTGTGTTTTGAGATCTGCAGATCTACATGAAGGCTGTTGTTATGAAAGTGTGTTTTGAGGTCTGCAGATCTACATGAAGGCTGTTGTCATGAAAGTGTGTTTTGAGATCTGCAGATCTACATGAAGGCTGTTGTTATGAAAGTGTGTTTTGAGATCTGCAGATCTACATGAAGGCTGTTGTCATGAAAGTGTGTTTTGCGATCTGCAGATCTACATGAAGGCTGTTGTCATGAAAGTGTGTTTTGCGATCTGCAGATCTACATGAAGGCTGTTGTTTTAAAAGTGTGTTTGTAGATCTGTAGATCTACATGAAGGCTGTTGTCATGAAAGTGTGTTTTGCGATCTGCAGATCTACACGAAGGCTGTTGTCATGAAAGTGTGTTTTGAGATCTGCAGATGTACATGAAGGCTGTTGTTATGAAAGTGTGTTTTGAGGTCTGCAGATCTACATGAAGGCTGTTGTCATGAAAGTGTGTTTTGAGATCTGCAGATCTACATGAAGGCTGTTGTCATGAAAGTGTGTTTTGAGATCTGCAGATGTACATGAAGGCTGTTGTTATGAAAGTGTGTTTTGAGGTCTGCAGATCTACCTGAAGGCTGTTGTTATGAAAGAGTGTTTTGAGATCTGCAGATCTATATGAAGGCTGTTGTTATGAAAGTGTGTTTGGAGATCTTCAGATGTACATGAAGGCTGTTGTCATGAAAGTGTGTTTTGCGATCTGCAGATCTACATGAAGGCTGTTGTTTTAAAAGTGTGTTTTGAGATCTGCAGATCTACATGAAGGCTGTTGTTTTAAAAGTGTGTTTGTAGATCTGCAGATCTACATGAAGGCTGTTGTCATGAAAGTGTGTTTTGAGATCTGCAGATCTACATGAAGGCTGTTGTCATGAAAGTGTGTTTTGAGATCTGCAGATCTACATGAAGGCTGTTGTCATGAAAGTGTGTTTTGCGATCTGCAGATCTACATGAAGGCTGTTGTTTTAAAAGTGTGTTTGTAGATCTGTAGATCTCCATGAAGGCTGTTGTCATGAAAGTGTGTTTTGCGATCTGCAGATCTACATGAAGGCTGTTGTCATGAAAGTGTGTTTTGAGATCTGCAGATGTACATGAAGGCTGTTGTTATGAAAGTGTGTTTTGAGGTCTGCAGATCTACATGAAGGCTGTTGTTATGAAAGAGTGTTTTGAGATCTGCAGATCTATATGAAGGCTGTTGTTATGAAAGTGTGTTTTGAGATCTGCAGATGTACATGAAGGCTGTTGTTATGAAAGTGTGTTTTGCGATCTGCAGATCTACATGAAGGCTGTTGTCATGAAAGTGTGTTTTGCGATCTGCAGATCTACATGAAGGCTGTTGTTATGAAAGAGTGTTTTGAGATCTGCAAATCTATAAGATGGCTGTTGTTATGAAACTGTATTTGTAGATCTGCAGATGTACATGGTGGTGTGGTTATGAAACTGTATTTGTAGATCTGCAGGTCTACATGGTGGTGTGGTTATGAAAGTGTCTTTTAAGATCTGCAGATCTTCACGTCAGCTGTCATTATGAAAGTGTGTTTGGAGATCTTCAGATACATAGGATGTTGTAGTTTTGAAATTGAATTTGTGATCAGCAGATCTACATGTTGGCATTAGTGGAAAAGTGTTTTCTTATCATTTGGTAGCTCTAAGAGTATCTTTTGTTGTTGTTTCATCAATTTTCTTTTATTATGAGAGGGTTTATGTCTAAGGCCTAAGAGATTGTGCAGCCTCTCATAGCCTTGTCGTCAGAATCAGTGTTCAAACAAATAGCAATATGTTATAGCTTTGATTAAAATCCAGTTTAGATAGTGAAGGCAGCATATTTGATCACTGTTGATGAGGTGAATAGGCAGTCAAATTGATTTGTGTATGAGGCATCCACATTTTGGGTACAAGACAGTATTATATATGCAGTCATGTGCATTTACATACCCTGTACCTAAAAATATCCATAAGAACATATTATATGCATAGATGTCTTCAAAAGACAGCACTCTCATAATATATAATTTGACAGTATTGTGGTCACTGGTCATTGTCACATTTGTGCAAGTACCTGGATAAGTGCAGTATATAAATGTATAATATAATAATTAACAAACCATGTCAAATAATTTATGTTGTTATTGTTTCACTGAATGTAACAAATAATACATCAACTGCTGACTTGTTATTGTATTTGTGAATTGCTATTCGTATTCGTTACCCTATATTCGTGATAAGAATCGTATTCGTCTCATAGTGTATTCGTTGCAGCCCTAGTGTACCCTGTTTGAAATATGGGGGTTCTGATGTAGATTCAAGGTATTTGAATCTAAGGACCTCCTAAATCTTTATCTTTTAACTTTAGGTTTATGACAAGGATCCCATGACTTTTCTGCTTACTGTCGAACACTCCAGCCAACTGAATGTGATGGATGTGAAATATATGTCTTATTTTTTAAATTATAAGAGACCAAAGAAGATTATGCTGCAATGTGCTTTTGAAACGATACATATTGCATAAAATCTTTGAAAAGCATTTTGAAGTGATACACATAAAGAAGAGAATTTATGGATGTCAACTTCTTTGTTATGAAGCTCTCTGCCTCATGTCATTCATTCATTTGATGAAGGAGTAAGCATATACTCCGAAACGTTGCGTTCCTCATAATAAAGAAGTTAACATCCATAAATTCTCTTCCTTACATATTGCGTAATTTCTGTTTTCCTGTATATTGGGTAAAAAATATATAACAAGTTTCATTATTATTTGTATCATTTAACTTAAAATCTACACAGAAATTCATTCACAAACAATGTTTCCCCTCAAAATTTATTGACAAAACAGCAGAAATGTGAAAGTGATTTTTCTCTCACATTGTTATCTCCCCTGTATCCATGACTACAAAATGGTGTTAACTGACCACTCTGAGTGATATTTGTCAATCACTGTCAGACACTGTCAGACACTTAAACTCCCAATATATCGCAATAGAGATCCCTGTATATTACGGCCTTATCGCTGTGTTATATTTTTCGGTTCAGTTTATTTACTCAATGCATGCATGTTTTAGCATTCTAGTCATATCAAATTCTTTTGCATTCACATGGTAATACCTTGATGCCTGCATTATCAGAATACTTGATGAAAAATATGTATGCTGCTGTGTATCAGTTCCTTTGAACTGTCTTCTGCATTAACACTAGTGTTTGGTGATGGTATGAATATGCTTTATGACAATGAAGAAAATGTTAATCAAAAACAACTAGGGGGAGCAATGTGAATACCAATACTTTGACTCTGCATAAAGTCTACAGAGTTTCTTTCATATATACTAAAAATCAGGGATTTATGGGGGTTACCGTATTCAACGTTATAAGCGCCCCGCTCTAATAAGCGCCCACGGCTAAAATATTGGCTAGTGAACAATCCCAATTAGCACCCCTTTCCGATTGATCAATGTACACAAGACTTATTTATTCGTGTATAATACGCACTCGTGTGTTATATGCACCCTTAATTATGGGCAATAAAATTCTGGAAAATATATCTGTCGTGTATAATTTTTCTCTCCAAAATTGTATTCTAATAAGAGCCCCCTATTTCTAATTTTGAGAGCGCTTATTAGGTCGAATACTGTAGTTATTTTGGGGTGGAAGGGACTCACAGCCTTTAGTCATGTACGAGTACGAGTCCCAGGTTACAAGTTGGGGTCCCAGGGAAATGTCAAATAATTTATTTTGAATATGACAATGTTAATTGAGAATTCCCAACTTAATTCCTTTTCTTATTTCACATATAAGATCATATACTTGTTTTTGTTTGTACTTAAGGATGTATTCAAACATTCCCCCCCAAAAAAATATTTGCAAATCTTGTTTTTACCATGCTTTGAGTAACACTCTTCACCCCCAACAATACGGGGGCATCTACAAAAAGTGACATTAAATTTCACATGTTCAGAAGCTGTAGTAAGAAATAGATACGGAATTCCTCAACTGAAATTGCAAGTTCACGAGTTCTAGTGCATTACATTTACCAGGGATTTACCGGACATGAATTCCTGTTTCCTATACACTTAATATTTGAAAATGGAAGTAAAAGAAATATAGAGTGCTCCCACTGGGTCGCAGTGGAACGATTCAGATCAGGTTTGGGTCATTTGGGTATTTTATCCATGGGTTTGATTTTATTGGTTATTCACAATATTTAGTGGGTATTCAAAAAAAAAATTCCACATGTTTTTTTACATTTGGGTAATTTATCCTTGAGAACCTGTTTCACAACATTCCCTGTTAATCATTCAAAACCAAATTAATAGTAGTATACATATGGTTTACTAAATGTAACTGTTGGTAAAAGAAGTGGTGGAAGAAAGCTGATACACAATCGTTTCATCTAACAGTTGTAATATGTAGGGAATGCCAATAACTGTTCACAGGTAATTCAAACCACCTTATCACAGATCACAGGTAATTTTCCACCCATTTCATAATCACGGATAATTATCACGTAAATTAGTTCATATTTCATTTAGATGATTGGTTGGTTGGTTTGTTGTTTAACGCCGCTCTCAGCAATATTCCAGCTATATGACGGCGGTCTGTAAATAATCAAGTCTGGACCAGACAATCCAGTGATTGATTTCATGAGTATCAATCAACGCAATTGGGATCGATGACATGAAGACCTATTTACCCCGGATCTTCACTGGTCTCATAGAGATGAGAAACAATTCATTACTTATCAATCTGATAGTGACTTGAGCCATATAATTGTCAAGTTTATGTTTTTGCGTGTATTAACCAGGATTGTGCAAATATACAGCCTATCTACAGCTCTGACATACAGAAATTAATTATTCAAGTGGTAGCAAATATGAAATGACATTCATTGCTGAGCATGTATTCACATTTTCTACATCCCAGTGGATGCACTCTGTATTTTTTTGCCTCCATTTTCGATTTTTGTTTGTGTAGGACCCAGGATTTTGTGTCCTGTAAATCCCTGGTAGTTATTATGCACAAGTATTCCTATGTGACCTCTACCCTTCTTCTATGTGTGATTAGAATTACTAGATGATGCACTCTCACACATTGCACATCCTTCAGCCACACAGCCCAGCGAGGAATCAGATATAATTGGTCAAGAAGAAAAACCTTCAACCAATGAAATTGCAGAGGTCATTGATGAGAAAGAGGAAGAGAGTACTAGCCAATCGGAGGATGTGAAACAAGCTGATATCAAGCCCAGTGTTAGTGATGATAAGGTGAAGGTTACTGATGTGGAGAGTCTGGAGGTGGAGGAGGTTGAAGAGGAGATGGAGGAGGTTAAGGAGAAGGTGGAGGGACTCCAGGATGTCACAGTGGAAGAGAAATCTGGTATTGCTCACAAAGCTGCTGATGTCTTTCCTAAACCTAGGCTTCTTCCTAAACCAGATCTGCCCGAGGAACTATTTGGTCAGCATTGTCTGCATGTGTGGCGAATGCTGCATGATACTGTATTGACACTCACGACATAACCCTGGTTACACTTGCTTGATATTGTTTGATAATCTTGGTACTAACAGCTACAACTAACAAAAAAAAGTAACATAGTTACTGTTATTTTGATTGATTAATTTAACAACACTAACACCTAAGGCTCTCCGTCATTGTGTCCAATAGCATGGCTATTCATGTCCTTCACCAGACTTCACAATGTCCTACATAAAGTCAGTACCATTACTATTCACAATGTCCCTCACCAGGCTTCACAATGTCCTACATAAAGTCAGTACCATTACTATTCACAATTTCATCAGACTTCACAATGTCCTACATAAAGTCAGTTCCAGTACTATTCACAATGTCCTTCAACAGGCTTCACAATGTCCTACATAAAGTCAGTACCAATTCTATTCACAATGTCCTTCACCAGACTTCACAATGTCCTACATAAAGTCAGTTCCAGTACTATTCACAATGTCCTTCAACAGGCTTCACAATGTCCTACATAAAGTCAGTTCCAGTACTATTCACAATGTCCTTCATAAAGTCAGTTCCAGTACTATTCACAATGTCCTACATAAAGTCAGTTCCAGTACTATTCACAATGTCCTTCATAAAGTCAGTTCCAGTACTATTCACAATGTCCTACATAAAGTCAGTTCCAGTACTATTCACAATGTCCTTCATAAAGTCAGTTCCAGTACTATTCACAATGTCCTACATAAAGTCAGTTCCAGTACTATTCACAATGTCCTTCAACAGGCTTCACAATGTCCTATATAAAGTCAGTACCATTACTATTCACAATGTCCTTCACCAGACTTCACAATGTCCTACATAAAGTCAGTACCATTACTATACACAATGTCCTTCAACAGACTTCACAATGTCCTATATAAAGTCAGTACCATTACTATTCACAATGTCCTTCACCAGACTTCACAATGTCCTACATAAAGTCAGTACCATTACTATTCACAATGTCCTTCAACAGACTTCACAATGTCCTATATAAAGTCAGTCCCAGTACTATTCACAATGTCCTTCATAAAGTCAGTTCCAGTACTATTCACAATGTCCTTCACCAGACTTCACAATGTCCTACATAAAGTCAGTTCCAGTACTATTCACAATGTCCTTCATAAAGTCAGTTCCAGTACTATTCACAATGTCCTTCAACAGGCTTCACAATGTCCTACATAAAGTCAGTTCCAATACTATTCACAATGTCCTTCATAAAGTCAGTTCCAGTACTATTCACAATGTCCTACATAAAGTCAGTTCCAGTACTATTCACAATGTCCTTCATAAAGTCAGTTCCAGTACTATTCACAATGTCCTACATAAAGTCAGTTCCAGTACTATTCACAATGTCCTTCAACAGGCTTCACAATGTCCTACATAAAGTCAGTACCAATTCTATTCACAATGTCCTTCACCAGACTTCACAATGTCCTACATAAAGTCAGTTCCAGTACTATTCACAATGTCCTTCAACAGGCTTCACAATGTCCTACATAAAGTCAGTACCAATTCTATTCACAATGTCCTTCACCAGACTTCACAATGTCCTACATAAAGTCAGTTCCAGTACTATTCACAATGTCCTTCAACAGGCTTCACAATGTCCTACATAAAGTCAGTTCCAGTACTATTCACAATGTCCTTCATAAAGTCAGTTCCAGTACTATTCACAATGTCCTTCAACAGGCTTCACAATGTCCTACATAAAGTCAGTTCCAATACTATTCACAATGTCCTTCATAAAGTCAGTTCCAGTACTATTCACAATGTCCTACATAAAGTCAGTTCCAGTACTATTCACAATGTCCTTCATAAAGTCAGTTCCAGTACTATTCACAATGTCCTACATAAAGTCAGTTCCAGTACTATTCACAATGTCCTTCAACAGGCTTCACAATGTCCTACATAAAGTCAGTACCAATTCTATTCACAATGTCCTTCACCAGACTTCACAATGTCCTACATAAAGTCAGTTCCAGTACTATTCACAATGTCCTTCAACAGGCTTCACAATGTCCTACATAAAGTCAGTACCAATTCTATTCACAATGTCCTTCACCAGACTTCACAATGTCCTACATAAAGTCAGTTCCAGTACTATTCACAATGTCCTTCAACAGGCTTCACAATGTCCTACATAAAGTCAGTTCCAGTACTATTCACAATGTCCTTCAACAGGCTTCACAATGTCCTACATAAAGTCAGTTCCAGTACTATTCACAATGTCCTTCAACAGGCTTCACAATGGCCTTGACCAGGCTTCACAATGTCCTACATAAAGTCAGTTCCAGTACTATTCACAATGTCCTTCAACAGGCTTCACAATGGCCTTGACCAGGCTTCACAATGTCCTACATAAAGTTAGTACCATTACTATTCACAATGTCCTTCATCAGGCTTCACAATGTCCTTCACCAGTCTTTTGCAATGATGTCTGTGTGCTTACTTACTTTTTCCATTGATTAGAACTAGATGACTAACACATGGGCTAATTAAAGTTATTTGAGAACTGAAACAATCGAAAAGTAATATTTATTTTACTTGTCTACCTGCAAGTATCTTGATGTCTGATTTATATCCCAATAACCTGTGCACATATGACAAGGTATTTAGCCTGCAAAAACTCAAAGTAGTTTCCAGGACAGAATAGGTCAACTGTACCACTGGCTTTTCACAAGAGTCGACGGAATTGAGAAGCGGTTGGCCACAATGTGTGACCCCACTGCTTGTCATTATTGTAACCCATGGCATGGAGTGATGCTCATATTATTGATCACTGGTTTGCCTGTTATTCATTGTTGGAATATTGCTGACATCAGGATAAACAATATATACTCACTCATTCACATTCTTGACAGGGTTCCGGATTACTCTGATCAGTAACATTACTAGTGAGGTCTTACTGGCACCAAATAGTTTGTTCAAAATAAAAATATGCAAAACTTAATATTGACTAACCTTGGCATCTTTCAGTTATTATTATTTATGTTCTTCTTTCATTATAACACATTTTCTATGAGGGTTTGTGTGGTTTGTTGTCTGAATTCACCTGCTATTGCTCGCTAGAAACTTTTTAGCTTCTTCACTCATTATTGTTATTTACGTGATGCTTGTAAATGTTTGCACCTTTTTTTGTTGTTATGGAAAATAAGCACATTGGCCTCTTCTGTACAAGTGATATATCCAGGAGTGATAGTGTATGTCAGTATAATTTTAATGGTTAATCTTATTCAGTGTATTAGGGGGCACGGGTGGCCCAGTCGTCTAAGGCGCCGCAATTCGCTGTGCAGAGTTGCATCCCTTGGGCATGCCAGAAACCTATGATTGTGGGTTCAAATCCCGGTTCGCCTCGATTATGTTGCTAGGTTTGTCAGCACCATACCCGTGCTCGTGGGTTTCACCGAAGTGGTAAACGTCTGAGACCTGCATCACTTCAGGCTTTCCTCCCACATTAAGCTGACACGCTGTGATATAACTGGAATAGTGTTAAAAGCGGCGTAAAACCCAACTCACTCACTATTCAGTGGATTAGGAAGATGGTATTGGATGTTTTTGTGATGGAGATATTTCTCCCACCAGTGACTGGCCCTGACGTTGTGCGGAGTCAGGGGGCAGGCAGCCTGTTTGACAAGGTGGAGCTGGAGGAAGAGGAGGAGGAGGAGGAGAAGAAGCAGGTGCTTGTCAAGAGCATGGATGGAAGGTGAGGTTGATACTCAGGATAGGTATTGCATAGATGTGGTTGTGTTGTGTTGAAGTGTTCTAGAGAGCATGTTCGATGATGTCATGCTACTGTGATCTCTGCCAGTAGACGTCTGTGTTGCTAGGTACTGTTGACTTCAAGTGGTAGGCAGTGTTTAGCACTAAGGCAGTGTTGAGCTCTGCACTTGTTGAGAGTGTTGAACCTTCAGCAGGGAGGCTGTGTTGAGCTCTGCAGCTGGGAATCTGTATAAGGCAGTGTTGAGTTCTGCAACTGGTAGAGGTGTTGAACCTTTCAGAAGGGAGGCAGTGTTGAACCTTTCAGAAGGGAGGCAGTGTTGAGCTCTGCAACTGGTAGGGGTGTAGAACCTTTCAGAAGGGAGGCAGTGTTGAACCTTTCAGAAGGGAGGCAGTGTTGAGCTCTGCAACTGGTAGGGGTGTAGAACCTTTCAGAAGGGAGGCAGTGTTGAACCTTTCAGAAGGGAGGCAGTGTTGAACCTTTCAGAAGGGAGGCAGTGTTGAGCTCTGCAACTGGTAGGGGTGTTGAACCTTTCAGAAGGGAGGCAGTGTTGAACCTTTCAGAAGGGAGGCAGTGTTGAGCTCTGCAACTGGTAGGGGTGTAGAACCTTTCAGAAGGGAGGCAGTGTTGAACCTTTCAGAAGGGAGGCAGTGTTGAGCTCTGCAACTGGTAGGGGTGTAGAACCTTTCAGAAGGGAGGCAGTGTTGAACCTTTCAGAAGGGAGGCAGTGTTGAACCTTTCAGAAGGGAGGCAGTGTTGAGCTCTGGAACTGGTAGAGGTGTTGAACCTTTCAGAAGGGAGGCAGTGTTGAACCTTTCAGAAGGGAGGCAGTGTTGAGCTCTGGAACTGGTAGGGGTGTAGAACCTTTCAGAAGGGAGGCAGTGTTGAACCTTTCAGAAGGGAGGCAGTGTTGAACCTTTCAGAAGGGAGGCAGTGTTGAGCTCTGCAACTGGTAGAGGTGTTGAACCTTTCAGAAGGGAGGCAGTGTTGAACCTTTCAGAAGGGAGGCAGTGTTGAGCTCTGGAACTGGTAGGGGTGTAGAACCTTTCAGAAGGGAGGCAGTGTTGAACCTTTCAGAAGGGAGGCAGTGTTGAACCTTTCAGAAGGGAGGCAGTGTTGAGCTCTGCAACTGGTAGGGGTGTAGAACCTTTTAGAAGGGAGGCAGTGTTGAACCTTTCAGAAGGGAGGCAGTGTTGAACCTTTCAGAAGGGAGGCAGTGTTGAACCTTTCAGAAGGGAGGCAGTGTTGAGCTCTGGAACTGGTAGGGGTGTAGAACCTTTCAGAAGGGAGGCAGTGTTGAACCTTTCAGAAGGGAGGCAGTGTTGAACCTTTCAGAAGGGAGGCAGTGTTGAGCTCTGCAACTGGTAGGGGTGTAGAACCTTTTAGAAGGGAGGCAGTGTTGAACCTTTCAGAAGGGAGGCAGTGTTGAACCTTTCAGAAGGGAGGCAGTGTTGAACCTTTCAGAAGGGAGGCAGTGTTGAGCTCTGCAACTGGTAGGGGTGTAGAACCTTTTAGAAGGGAGGCAGTGTTGAACCTTTCAGAAGGGAGGCAGTGTTGAACCTTTCAGAAGGGAGGCAGTGCTGAGCTCTGCAACTGGTAGGGGTGTAGAACCTTTTAGAAGGGAGGCAGTGTTGAACCTTTCAGAAGGGAGGCAGTGTTGAACCTTTCAGAAGGGAGGCAGTGTTGAGCTCTGCAACTGGTAGAGGTGTTGAACCTTTCAGAAGGGAGGCAGTGTTGAACCTTTCAGAAGGGAGGCAGTGTTGAACCTTTCAGAAGGGAGGCAGTGTTGAACCTTTCAGAAGGGAGGCAGTGTTGAGCTCTGCAACTGGTAGGGGTGTAGAACCTTTTAGAAGGGAGGCAGTGTTGAACCTTTCAGAAGGGAGGCAGTGTTGAACCTTTCAGAAGGGAGGCAGTGTTGAGCTCTGGAACTGGTAGGGGTGTAGAACCTTTCAGAAGGGAGGCAGTGTTGAACCTTTCAGAAGGGAGGCAGTGTTGAACCTTTCAGAAGGGAGGCAGTGTTGAGTTCTGCAACTGGTAGGGGTGTAGAACCTTTTAGAAGGGAGGCAGTGTTGAACCTTTCAGAAGGGAGGCAGTGTTGAGCCTTTCAGAAGGGAGGCAGTGTTGAACCTTTCAGAAGGGAGGCAGTGTTGAACCTTTCAGAAGGGAGGCAGTGTTGAGCTCTGCAACTGGTAGGGGTGTAGAACCTTTCAGAAGGGAGGCAGTGTTGAACCTTTCAGAAGGGAGGCAGTGTTGAACCTTTCAGAAGGGAGGCAGTGTTGAGCCTTTCAGAAGGGAGGCAGTGTTGAACCTTTCAGAAGGGAGGCAGTGTTGAACCTTTCAGAAGGGAGGCAGTGTTGAGCTCTGCAACTGGTAGGGGTGTAGAACCTTTTAGAAGGGAGGCAGTGTTGAACCTTTCAGAAGGGAGGCAGTGTTGAACCTTTCAGAAGGGAGGCAGTGTAGAACCTTTCAGAAGGGAGGCAGTGTTGAGCTCTGCAACTGGTAGGGGTGTAGAACCTTTTAGAAGGGAGGCAGTGTTGAACTCTGCAACTGGTAGGGGTGTAGAACCTTTTAGAAGGGAGGCAGTGTTGAACTCTGGAACTGGTAGAGAGTGTTGAACCTTCAGCAGGGAGGCAGTGTTGAGCTCTGCAACTGGTAGAGAGTGTTAAACCTTCAGCAGGGAGGCAGTGATGAGCTCTTGGGAAGTGTCGAGCTCTGCAGTTTGGAGGTCAGTGGTACTTGTGCTGCACAGCTTCTTGGCAGTGTTAATCTCCTCAACCTATATGGAAGACAGTTTAACTATGAGTCTGGCTCCACTCTTGTGAGATAATCCATAGAAACAGTAGATAAATATCCGTGCTTGCGATCCGTTAAAGCTGAGGTTACCTGTTTACTCTACTTCATCCCGTGTTTGGATCTGTAATATATTTTGTATTTATCTTGTGTGACTTGTATTTCAGTGGTGATGGGAACAAGCTGGTTACCAAGGGAATAACAACAGGCCAGTTTGACCTCCGAGATATTGGGGTGTGTAGGTTAAATTTATCTAGTTAAGATAGGGTACACATGCATTACATCATATTTACTACATGTCCATATTGTGGAGAACAGGCATTCCTATTCTTCAGGTTAGTAACCACTGTATGGACTCCCCAGCAAGATGACTGAATGTATTTCATTGTTGCAGCATGTCCTGGGATATTCGGGGGCATAGGCGTCCCAGTTGTCTAAGCCACAATTCATTGTGCAGAGTTGCTTCCATTACGTGTGCCAGAATCTATGATTGTTGGTTCGAATCCCAGATTTGTCCTGATTCTTGGTTTGTCAGTACCATACCCAGCTACCACCTCCGTGGTCTAATGGTAGAGCGTCCGCCTGGAGAGCGGAAGATCCGGGGTTTGATCCCCAGTCGCGTCATACCAAAAGACGTTAAAAGATGGTACTTGTTGTTACCCTGTCTGGCGCTCAGCATTAAGGGGCTAAAACAAGGACTGGTCGGCTCGGAGTCAGTATACTGTGTCTGAGTGGGGTATTCATGTTAAACTGTGGCATGGTATCTCAGTGTGCTAGCACTATAAATCGGCATCAGTCCGGACTAGTACAAGCAGCCACACACACACACATACATGTGCATGCACGTCGCTATATAAGTGCAATAATCTTGGACGCGATGTTAAACCCCATTTCACCTCACCACCTCACCATGCCCAGCTCATGGGTTTCACCCATGTGGTATATGGCGTAGACCTGGGCGCCATTGTACTAAGTGGCCTTAGTGCTAAGCTAATTGTAACTCCTGTACCTTAATATGACTTACAAGTCGTAGTTAAGGTTGTTTTGAACAATGGCACCCAGCATCACTTCAGGCTTTCTTCCCATGACACACTGTGAAATACACATATATTTTTCAAAGAGGCTGAAAGTAAACATAACGCTCTTTCTCTCTTACACTGCTATGATATGTAGGTTTGTATGATGATGATGATGATGTTTGTGATGATGATGATGATGATGATGATGATCACATGAGCCAGTGATCTTTATGGAATATGTTTGTTTAGTTGATGCGGACGGCATCGGAGCCTGATCTGTCAAAGCTGGGCAAGTCTGAGTGTGAGAGCCCCGCCAAACCCATGCTGACCCGGCACATGAGCATGGACCTCAGCGTTGTAGAGGAAGAGGTACGATGACATCTGTTTACAGTTCCTGTTATTACAGGCATTTTTATCAGACTCCAAACTAAGCATCCTTGTCGGGCAAGTGAGAAATTTTGTTAAAATTTAGATTATTTTAGGAAGTTCTTATTTTCTTAAAATCTGAGATAGTTTGACCTTGTAATTTAAAAAAAAATGCATTCAATCCAATAACATAAAAATAAGCATTAAAGACTATAGGTCTTTACTGGTCATGTTATAGTGTAATTTGAGATTTGAGAACCATGGGAATTGATCCAGGGCAGTGTCGGAGGGCCTCAAGGGCCAGCACATCTAAAACACTGTAGGCCCAGTGGAAAAACTGTAGGCCCAGTGGAAAAACTGTAGGCCCAGTGGAAAAAACTGTAGGCCCAGTGGAAAAACTGTAGGCCCAGTGGAAAAAAACTGTAGGCCCAGTGGAAAAACTGTAGGCCCAGTGAAAAAACTGTAGGCCCAGTGGAAAAACTGTAGGCCCAGTAGTAAAACTGTAGGCCCAGTGGAAAAAACTGTAGGCCTAGTGGAAAAAACTGTAGGCCCAGTGGAAAAAACTGTAGGCCCAAACATTTTAGCTGAAGCAGGGAGACATACTTTTGCAATATATAAATTACAAAACACAACTAGTCAACCAGAAGCTTTTACTGCTATCACACCGAGTTCCCAGAGATTCTGTGCTGATAGATGAAGCCAACATTTTGTAAAACATCTTTGCGACTTCATGTCATACACCATTTGAAAGGACTAATCCTACTGTTTGTGAATATGAAAGTTATGTTTATCACAATACTTAAATAATGCTTAATAAATAATAATTATTATCGTGATCTCTATAGGTGGAACTGTTACATTAAGTGCATATTTTCCATTCTTTAGAGCCCAAGGTAGAAATTGTGACATAAAGTGCAACTTTTACACTCTCTAAGGCTCAAGGTAGAACCAAACATTAGGTGAATAGTTTACGACCTCGTGAACAATGTATCCTGTGTTCCAGTGTCACACGCCTGGTTCAGAAATAAAGTACATTAATAGATAAAACAATAAATAGTTTGTGAAGTGCAGCTGACATTGTCTTACATGTTTTTAATGACAAATGGCATTATTACAAGAAATTGTCAATATTTAATAAGACAATATTCGATACCATTACGAAATTTTACCATGACCAAATTTGAACAAAAATGTTAGGTCATTTTGGTTGACAATCTGCCAGTGTCCTGGAAAATGAACCGGTTCACTGTGTCACAAGGACTGAATGGAAAATGACATACCAAAGAAACAGTTACTCAGTTGTTTAATCTCATATATATGTGCAGAGCACAACTTGTTCATGTCCAAGTGATACACAGACTGAATGCATACACAGCATCATACTCACAGACCACGTACGCAGAAACTACATACCGTATTGAACGTGATAAGCACCCAGGGTGCTCACAAAATTAGAAATAGGGGGCTCTTGTTAGAATATTATTTTGGTGGAAAAAACAGAGTTGAAAGATAAATTTCGTGGTTTATGCTGACGGCCTGAACTGTTTATATACAACAGATATATTTTTCCATAATTTAATTGCCCATAATTAAGGGTGCATATAACACACGAGTGCGTATTATACATGAATAAATAAGTCTTGTGTACATTGATCAATGGGAAGAGGTGCTAATTGAGATTGTTCACTTGCCATTATATTAGCAAATATCGCCGTGGGCGCTTATTAGAGGGGGTCGCTTATTACGTCGAATACGGTACATGTAAATAAACTGAACCCCGAGTACGTAAGCCAGGATGTTCATTTACATAGTACATTTAGATCAGGCACTTTTTTCCTTTGTATTATGGATCTGCCAGACTGATTTCTCCCGATTAAAAAATAAAATCACTTGAAATAAAATTTTCTTATCTCACAATCAACTGACAATACAAAAATACCTTATTTTCTTGTGTACACTTTCCCCCTTAAAAAATACAAGGTATTTGCATGTGAAGTCCGCACTGACGTGCGCAAGTTATCCTGTCACTACACAATCTGGGTATAAAAGTGTCTTGAATTACATTTGTAATCTATTTTAATAATTTTATTCAAGATTTCATTCAATATTGTTTGCATTAATTTCGGTGAAATTGTGTAGGAACTAATCGGCAGTTTGCACCAACTCACCGTTATGTACAGCAACCTCAAAAAGATTAACTGATGCTTTGAACTGAACGTAATGGATACATCATAGAATCTATACTATGACTTGTGGAAAGTCAAGAGCTGTTGTTGTGTGACTGTTATGTCAACATATTTTCATGAACAAAATAGCCAGATCCTGGAGAGCCTCAGACAGTGCCTCATCAAACTAGTCCATCGTAAAAAATATCCGCCATATACCATATGGTTATTATTGATATTTGAAATATATTTAGTAAAAGTTGCATCTAAAATCTAAGATTTAGATGGTTATACAAGAAAATTGTTTTTGTATGATGACACACTACAGACTGCGCACATATTGTCAGGGATTGACTTAGGCCGCGATTCCACAATATTCTCGCATAGTTGTCATATATATCGCATCAACATTAATGCACACGATTGAAAATAGCATACATCTTTTAATAGTTTTATCCGCATTGACACTCTCATTTTCACCTTACAAACATCGAAAAAGACGGATTGCTTGAATAAAATTATTTACCAGGGATAATTCTAGGCCCACAGTTTCAAATACAATGAGGCATTTGTGCTGTATGGGCGAACTTGACTGAACCCCGATCTACTGTATCTAAAAATGTCCCAAAAAAACTTACTCGATAGTTTCTTCGATCGTCAAAAGTTGTCAATCGAAACAGCCATTTGCATACTCGCAACACTGCATGCCATCTCTTTCTGTGCATTATTGATTCCTATAGCACTGCGTGGAGCTTTGCACTACATTTTTTTATACCTGATTGTCAAGTCGTATTCGGTGATCTACAACAAGTCATTAGCTGTGTTTTTTGGTCACTTAAATCCAAGCAGAATCAAAGATGTCCATGTATGTGCATCCGTGCAGAAATCAAGAGGAAAAAATGCAATCACTTCTAAAGTTTCAAAATGCAAGCAAATTTCGATTTTGGAATGACAAAACCAAACCTAAATGAATACACATACAACTCTTTCTCCATAAGAATATACACATTTCAGATCACAAACGATCATATTTTAGATGAGATTTGCCAAGACTTTAGATAAGACATCACTGGTTTTCATGAACGTATACCCTCTTGCAAGAATGGCCAACGTGCATGAATTACAAATTTTGAACTATTTCTAGTGGCCAAACAGCAAGTTGGAGATTTAATTAGAATATGCTATGATATGTTTGCTTCCAGATTTGTCCATGTTTATTGAAAACTGACTTAATTATTCAAATGTAACTCATAAACATTGTGAAAGTCAACAATCTTTTCAACTTCAGGTTTCTCTTAAACATTTTCTGGCTGCTGCACATGGCAAACATGCCATCTTCTACAAAAAATAAATGACTTAATTGTTGCTAATTTTAACAAAAGGGTGAACTTAGAGCAAAAATCGTTGTATAATGAACTGTCATTTCTAATTAATTAAAAAAGTCCATATTGGTAAGATTTCATTTGATACGGTCAGACACCCGGTCTTTGATACAGTACACACTGCAGACACTACAAGACAGTGAAATTGACAGTAATTATTCTCGCAAATAATTCCTCCTAAAGTCGACAATGAACTGAAATACATAAATATTAATGTATTTTCTCCTAAAGTAGACAATGAACAGAAATATAAATACTTATGCATTTTGTTGTGAAAATAATGCTAATATTTTTAAATAATCACAGTGGAATAATGAATGTTCGAAAATATCGGAGGATGTATCTATATAATCTAGTAACATTAATTGCAACATAATTCAAGTCACAAATACCGAATATCAAATACAGTTTCCTCTGTGGGAAGACTTTGAAAATTTGCAAAATCTCATCACACGCCAAAAAATCTCGTTGCTTTTAGACAAGGGGGGATTTTCTCTCGTTGGTGAAACATTCAAGATTAATCCGTGCATTGTGACCCACCGATCCACAGTTTAGTCAGCTCTTACAACAAGCATGGGTTGCTCGGGTATTCTTCTGAATAAGAATCCCAACAGGGTCAACCAATCAATCAATCAACCAATCAATCATGCAATCAAATATGCAATCAATCATGCAATCAATCATGCAATCAATCAATCATGATATACCAATCAATCACGATATACCAATCAATCATGCAATCAATCAATCATTTAATCAATCCATCAATCAATCACACAATCATGATATATCAATCAATCATGCAATCAATCAATCATGCAATCAATCAATCATGCAATCAATCAATCATGTAATCAATCAATCATGTAATCAATCATGCAATCAATCAATCATGCAATCAATCATCGTTGGCCTAATCACTGCAACAAACAAACAATACTAATGGAGATCCAAGGTTGGCATTTTTAAGGATGTTGTACAAAGCTGTTTTAAAAGATGGATGACTTCGCCGGCCATCTGCTAATGGCTTCTGGGTTTGTTTAGTAGTGCTTGGTGACATGTGGGAAGAGGAAGCACAACTACTTGTGTCATCAAACTCAAATGTGCTGTGACTGGAATAACTACCGGTACTCAATAACCCATCAATATATGCAGCTGGGCAGTGGCAGTGTAATGCTGGTTAATGTGAAACAATACATTCGCTTAGCCCAACATCAATAGTCTGGCTGGTGTTTAACAGGTCATCTTTTTCTGATTTTCTAAAACCAAATGATTGTGTCTGCCGGTGACTAGGAAACGCCTAGTGGTTAAAACATGTACTCATCACGCTGATGCCAATTTGAGATGCACCCCACTATGATATGCATCAAGTTTGTTATCATCAGCGGAAATTATATCAATGTAGATAATTATTTCTTTTGGTGTTATTTTGGTTATCTCGGAACCAGCTCAAACTGTCTGAACTTGTTATTATACTCTGTCACACTGAAGTTTATCGGATTCACATCCAACTTCGTCCATCCTTGTTTCAGAAAACATTTCCAGTAGTCGAAACTAACAATTTTAGTCCACTAGTCCTTATAATGATAACATATAGCAAAACCCTTAAAAATGGCAAATTTCTACTTGTCCTTAGGATACCTTAACTTTTGGGCAGTTTGGCAAGGATTACAGGACTAGTGCCAATTTCTAACGTTGATTTTTGATATTTTCATGAAACTTTGTGCACATTTTGACCAGTGGTCCAGTGGTGGCTTTTGGCATTCACAAGCTTCTATTGTTGCTTGGTTGTCCGTCAGTTTCTTTAAAAGTCTCAGAAACCACAGCACCAATGAAACTGTACTTGGCATGCTGATGGCAATACCCCAATTTTTTCTGTGGTATCAAATCTGATATGGCAGCCACAACATTTTCAAATGTATTGAAATTTGGTATGTTTTGTTTGGATGCTTATCGCTGCATATATTAAAAAGCCTTGTTGTTGGTTAGCTATTGTCCATGAGTGCTAAGTATTTATGCTGAAATATTTCATTGTAGATGACAGCAAGTCAACAAAAACAAAAAGATATGCTCATGAAACTTTGTGTAGGTTCGAATGTGCTGTTTTCATATTTCAAATTTCCTAATTCTTGGCATTCACTTGTGGTTCCTCTGACATTTACTCCAGATTCCCAAGACCCCAGTACCTTATGCTGGTCTTATACCTAGCTGAGGGCGAGCAGCCTAGTAGTTAAAGCGTTCGCTCGTCACACCGAAGACCCGGGTTCTATTCCCGACATGGGTAAAATGTGTGAAGCCCATTTCTGGTGTCCCCCGCCGTGATGTTGCCAGAATATTGCTAAAAGCGGCGTAAAACCATACTGACTCACTCACTCACCTAGCTGAGTTGGGATGAGGAGTTCCGGCTCTGCATCAAGGCTGATTGTGTCATCACAGGGCATGGATCAATGTTCCTGCATTTTGTCAACGGTTTGCCAGGGCCGGACTATTTGCAGGTCACCATCATGTACCTGGAATATTGCTGACTACAGCATTAAAAAGTATTCTCCCATGAATTTGGAAATTATTGATTCTGATTGGTTGATCAGAGGTTATCAAATCACAATAAACTCCTTCTGATTGAAACAGACGATTTGATGCCCACATCACAGCGTGTCGTTTCTTTCAGTAATTTTTATCAAATTCTTTGTTCAATAATAGGTTACAAAATTTGCAGTTACTACATTATTCAAAGGATGTGTTGCAATATATTTTGTGCAGAAAAACATGTATTTCTCCTGAATGTACCGGTATTTCAAGTTTTGGGGACAACAGAGAGCTGAAATTTGGTGCAGTTACATCTACAGGTAACCTAGCTGTACATTGAAAACACAATGTATCTATCTCCATATGTTCTCATTCAGTTCAGTGCAAGTAATAAGTATGATTGCTATGTAATAATTTTACCCGAGAGAGTCACTTAATGTCCAGGCTGGAACCGAAGAGGAAACCACCCCAGAAACCTCACCAAGAAATGACCAATCAAAGTCCCCGCTTTCACCAGTCAGCCAATCAGAGGAGACTGAGAAGAGTGGGGAAGCTGTAGCCTCTGATGAGGAAGCCGATGGGTAAGTAGATGAATGATGTTTATGTGAACTATTGGCAATATTTAAAACTTTAACCTTGTTTTGGCCTTTGGGTGTTGGTCACGCTCTTCTCAAATAAAAATTTGGCTCTGTAAACCTATGTATTTTGGAATGAAACATTTGAATATCAATGATGACAGCACCATCTGTTAAGCGGCTGTCTTTGACATTGTAAACTTTTGACTACATTCCCAGGTGAGCTACAGTGCTGTGGCACTATTTTTCTGTACAGTGAGTTGCATCCCATTGTTGTGCCAGGATCCTCTGATTGTTGGTACGAATACGTCTAAATCCACAGTTTAGTCGAAAATCTTCCTATCTGCATGATCTAAGACTGTGACATATGTGTTAACTTAAGACATTGAAAATGTTACAAAAACACTTTTAATTGAAAAACACCCAAATTTCGGTGCAGTTTTACACTAATTAAAGGGCCAACCATTGGATTTCAGAACATAGCCTATTCAGAGTTGTAATTATCCTTTGAACTCACTCCTGTGTTTGGTGCCTGTCTGTCATAGCCATGTAGTTATCATAATGTACAAACGCTTGAAAAAATCTATGTAGGCAGTGCAGTTAACCGCCGTCATAGAGCTGGAATATTGCTGAGTGTGGCGTTAAACAACAAACAAACAAAGGTAGTGCAGTTGCCATTAAAATCACATCTATTACTCTGACTGGATACCGCTCTGGGTGAAGATCTGTGGACATGTCCATAAAAGGTCAGGTAAACACTGAGTGAACTTTGACCCCCTAATCTAATTAAAGGATGTGTGGAGTTTTGAGCCAATCACATGTCAGGTTTCCAATCAATTTTCATAATGCTTGTCGTAAAAGGCGACTAACGGGATCGGGTGGTCAGGCTCGCTGACTTGGTTGATGCATGTCATCGATCCCAATTGCGTGGATCGATGCTCATGATATCAATCACTAATGAGATTGTCAGAAGTGGTTTTGAGTTTCTTTTCTTGTTTCAACAATGTCACATAAATTTTCACTATACATTTTTCCACGTTTCAGTTGACATTTATGTTATGTCAACTGTCATAGCTGAGGTTTGTGGTTCATAACCTAAGCCCTTGAGCCAAATCAGAAAGATAGCTGTTCCTGGTTGTCTGACCTCAAACTATGAGCATTTGTATAACCTGCACTTCAAACAGTGGACCGACATTTATAGGCAATGTATTGCCTTAGACATCTTTTACTGGAACCCTGAGGCAGTGTGCCCCAATGATCATAGTTGAAGCCATGTAGAATTATCATGTTGTATAATGTTACATGTTACATGTAACATTACCGTATTGGCTTAGTTACAAGCCCCGCTGCAATCAGTTCCCCCGATGAACTTCTAGATCAACTGGTTACTAATCTTACTCCTTTTCTTGTGTATCACAGCTTTCATACAGAAACAGCAACTCATACATTAAACAAGAAGTACTTATAACATTTCCATTCAGAATGCTAGAGGCATAGCCTTAGAGTCATTTTGTGGGGCCTTCAGGCAACAAAAAACATACCTACCGTATTCGACGTAATAAGCGCCCCGCTCTAATAAGCACCCACAGCGATATTTGCTAATATATTGGCTAGTGAACAATCCCAATTAGCACCCCTTCCGATTGGTCAATGTACGCAAGACTTATTTGTTCATGTATAATACGCACTCGTGTGTTATATGCACCCTTAATTATGGGCAATTAAATTCTGGAAAATATATCTGTCGTGTATGATACGCACATACTTTTCTTTTGTATCCACTCAGGCTGTCGGCATAAACTACGAAATTTACAATCTTTCAACTCTGGGTTTTTTTCTCACCAAAATTATATTCTAATAAGAGCCCCCTATTTCTAATTTTGAGAGCGCCCCGGGCGCTTATTACGCCGAATACAGTACTTCTTTATGCAACTTGTCAGTGGCACTTTATACCCAATTAGATCTCTTTGGGCAGATTATCAAAGTTTTTAAAGATTTACTGCATTGGGCATGTATTTTTCCAAACCTAAAGTGATGTTATTAAACTGGAACTACTCTTGACTTAGTTATTAAGATAGCTGGAGGCATATTATCCTCTGTTTTAAAGTAATACTGTGTTGCGCATGTTGGTCAATTGTTACAGATGTGGTCAAGTCAAAATGGTTCATGATACATGTTTCTGGAAAAGGAAAGTTTCGTAATGTAACACCTTTCTGGTTGTGTATATTTCTCACAAATGTCACCTCCCCATCTGAATGCAAGTCCTCAGTTGAAGGATTGTGTAGTTGCACAGTAGACAGTATATCACTGACACATACCTCCTCCATAGCTGGGCATGCTTGATGAGTCCTGCCCAGAGGAGATGGGCTGCACATACCTCATGTCGTAGCCACCGGAGACGCCATCCCTCAAGGAAGAACAGCTTCATGTGATGCACTCTAACAGCTTCATCTTACAGACCTCTTGAGACTGGGCATTTATTATAGAGGTTGAGCATGAGTTTGTGAAAGGAGGTCACTACATATGTGACAGATGTGGCATTAAGATTAAACGTTTGTTTCTGTGGAAGTGCTGGGAACTTAAACCGAGGCAGTGAGTTAAAATTAAACGTTGCATCGACTTTTTTTCAGCCATATAGTGGCGAGAACAAGTTGTAATATATACAATTGAATCATAAATACAGTTATATTTAAACAAAATTTTATCAAACATATTTTATCATAGGGCTAGGATGAGTCCAAATTTACTACCCGGGTACCCAGCACCCTATTACCCGACCCTTCCTGGGTACCCACTGTAGCTCTCAATAGATAGGTCCTACACAAAGTGTCCTATTGGGAATAGTTTGACCGTAGCCCTGGGCAAAATGTATTTGGTTTTACGTGGAAGACAATCTGGTCTTGAAGATTGACTGAAGTTTTATCTTTATTCAAACATATAAAATTTAGAATGAATGGGTGCATAGTCAGAAAGAAAAGTGAATATTAGTGACTTGTAGTGTAACCATATAATTCTTGATCATTTTTGTCATTAAACAATATATATCACACGACTAACCATGGGTCAGTCTAGTCTTGTGGGTACCTGGGTCCTTCTCAGTACCCACCCGACCCGAGTACCCGAGATACCCATCCCAGCCCTAATGACTGCACTAGAATAGTTACTTTAAGTGTTCATTCTTATCTCTGGTGGAAGAGTAGCCTTGTGGTTGAAGCGTTTGCTCATATTGAAGGCCAGAGTACGATTCCCTACACGGCAACAATATGTGAAGCCCATTTCCAGTGTCCCTCGATGTATTGTTGGAATATTGCTTAACACAGCTTAAACTGTCCTTACTCACGTATTCTTGTCTCCCCTGGATCAGAGGTTTAATAGGTCTAAACTTAAGCTGTGAAAGGAGGGGGACCAGACTCGATTGTTTACAGATTGATGACACGTAGCTGGAATATTGGTGAGAGTGGTGTAAAGGACAACAAGCAAGCAAACAAACAAGAATTTAATTAAATTAAATGTTATTTCATCAATGATAGAGATATGAGTTGTTTATGACATGTTTGATTTTAGTATGGAAATGATAAGACACAAATATATTTGTGAAACTCACTGAATTCAACTGGAGATAATTTGTTTTTATGATAATAATTATATAGTTTTACCAAGGTTCCGTCCGTCTGTCCCTTCGTCCATCCGAAAACTTTGTCTGCCCGATTTCTCTTAAACTATTCAGTTGATTCATCTCAAACTTAGTACATATAATCTGTGTCATGGAGGGTGCAGTCAAAAGAAAAAAATTGTTTTTATTAATTTTCCATTTTTTTATGAATTTTTCAAATCCTAACCCTATCCATTATTTAATTTGAAACTACAAACACGCTAGGTGGGTCAGGGATATTAGTGAGCCACGTTCACTTTTGCCCTTGTTTTTCACTGTTTGACCATGTCACCGATCCCAATTGCCTAGATTGATGCTCATGATGTCAATCACTGGATTGTCTGGCCCAAACTCGATTATGTATAGACCGCCATCATATAGCTAGAATATTGCTGAGTGCGGCGTTAAACAACAAACAAACAAACAAACAAACATCACTGTCTGACCAATAAAGGTGAGCTTCGATACCTCAGGTTTACATTTCTGTGTAACTTGTCATAAGTAATTTCATAATCGTGTCAAACACTCCCATGTTGATAGAACACAACGACTGTGCAGTTGTAAGTGTGAATGAAGCAGGAATAGGAAGGTCAGTTGTCTCATTCTGCTAGACTGCAGTTAGTGTGACTTCACAAAAGTGGGCGAAAACTTGGCCCTGGTTTGTACAGTAAGTAAGAAGACACCAAACAGAGTTGAGAAATGATAACTGTTAAATATTTGATGAGCACACTATACATATGTAATGTTCACCTTGGAACAGATTTGGGATGAAGGTGCAAGAAGTAGCTCTAAAAACTTTGTTACAAAGACTAAAAAAAAGTGTCATGTCTTCAGATCTGTGAAGCAGACATATTTGGGTTTTTTAAATGCAGTTTATTGTTGAGTATTCAATCCCCAAAAATTCAATATTTCAAACCTCTGGCTATCACTGATGATTCCAATGAAATTTCATGATATCAAATACTTAATAACACTCCATAATCTAAAAACACATTATGCATATATGATCTTTGTAGGAGGTGACTTACGACGTACCCTAAATGGTGTGTCAACGTACCTCTAAAGGGTAAATCATTACTCATAATATCAATCACTGGAGTGTCTGGTTCAGATGCGATATTTATAGGTTTTGCCATCATATATCGGAAATGGTGCTGACTGACATTAAACCACACATGCACACGCACACACACATGCACACACACACACAGACAGACAGACACACACCACACACACACAGACACCACACACAGAGTCACACTCACACTCACACACCACACACAAGGCAAATGGGACATGTTTTTCTAAATTTGAGACTGAGGGTAACAGACAGACAGATAACAGAAACATACCA